GTCACATTTGGTATTGCTAGTAGAAGTGCGCTGATATATATCTGCAAGCTCACCATATTCTGTAGATTCTCTCTTTCTTTCAATTTCTCTATCTCTTTCTCCTTTCCATCTAATTGTCCTTCTTTTCTTTTTATCTTTTTATTTCTTTTTCATTCTCTCTCCTCTCATTCCTGCTTATCATTTGTGTGTCTGAGTCATGTTAGCACTTGTTGGCATGTGCTAGACATGTATACTCAACACCAGGGATTGCTGGAATCAGATAGGTGTGGTAGGAGAAGGCATTGATGACAGTTGCAGGTAAGGTATGCATGCAGAAGGTATAACATCCACTGTGGCTGATGTGGGAGGTGTGGCAATTACTGTCAAATGTGAAAGTATTGGTGATAGTGTGATGTAAGTGGAAATACATGATTTTGAGTAAATAATAGAAGTAGGTGAGTTTAATATGGTATGCAGGGGCCAATAAACATTGAATGCTGCCTCAAAGGCATGCCAAGTAGCTTTCTGCAATAGAGAAAAAATTTTGAACTACCAATCTGCTAGACTTCTAGCTTTTCACTACAGCGGGAACTATTTAATTTCCCACTCATTAATCTAGTCATTTAGTAAAATTGTCTTGCATTGCTGAAACCACTTGGAGGCCCTTCTCCATTCTTATGGTCTTATTAAAAAGGTAATAGAAGAAGAATATTAGCTATTTTTGTAGAATAAATACTTGCTAAGACTAAAAATTTCAAAAACCAAAATGCAAGTGTAGCAAAAGGTAATTGAACCAAACAAGTTACTTCCTTAGTAGAATAAGTACACAAATAAGCTAAATTGGATTAGAGTCAAAAGGCAAAATAATCAACAGCTGATACTATAGATACAAGGGATAAGAGAGTGAGTCAAAATCCAAGAGAACATGGGAATATAAGAATAAACTAAGCAAACAAGCAGAGTAGGTGAATCATGAGCTCTCACTCTAGTCACCAGGTGAAGAGAGTCATGCATCAGAAAAAAGAGTCTATGCCATAATAGCTTATTATAGCCATTATGAGAATTGTGAAATACTTCATGCAAATATCTAAGAACAGATACTGATAAAGGGTATATGTGATTCTTACCATTGCAATCCTAAGCAAAATAAGCAAAAATATGAAAATCTCATGATGTAAGCCTTATGGTGACTTGTTAATATGATCTATTATTACTCTTAGCTGCATTTGTAATAGAGTTCAGGCTGAATTAGACACTAAAGAAGAGAGTGGCCTATACACACATGCTAGGTTAGAGGGTGCAACCTTAGAATACAGGAGATGTAAATGTAATGAGACCACTTTATGCTCAATGAACTAGTTCCTCCACTAGAACTTCTAATATTACTGTAGACTCCTTCATCTTAACTCTTGCTACCATTCATGTGGAATTAAATATGTCCATTGAAGCTTGGATTGACAGTATCCATTGGTCTCTTCCTGGTGGTTTCAATACCTTAAATTCACTCAATTCTCTCACCTCTGCTGCAAAAAGTGATTTCTGGTTGTGCACTTCAAGAATGATTATCCAAAAACTCTGGGGTGCAAGTATGATATGTCCTAAGAGACTACCTATAGAACCACCTCTAAAAATACCAGTGCAAGGAAGACCTAATACAATAAAGAAATGAGTATTAGAAGTTCTGAAGATGTGTCTAAAGTTCTAATAGTATATCCAAAGTACCAATATATTTGTTTAATGTGAGCAAAAGTGGTCTGAAGCTGAGAAGTGAAGTGTGGAGAGGTTTTAAACACTGCAGGCATTTTCCCATTTTCCTTCACCAAACATCCAAAAAAAACATTGATTAAGAAGATAGAATTTTTCTCTCATTTTGTCTGTCAAAACATTGGAAAAAGTAATTCATGTTTCAATGATTTTCTATGGGTAGGACATGATGCAAAAACTGATAATGTTCCTTCAAGGATAATGTTATTAAAATAATGTCAAATTTCTTCTCCATGTTTGTCAAATATTCTGTGTATATTTGAAAAATACAGGGAAGAAAATTAACATTATTTTAAGCTGTTATTTAAAAGACAATAGATGGAAAATACAGCATTATTCTTAAAGGAACATTATCAATTTTTGCATATGCCCCACACACAAAAAATTATTAAAATATAAATTACTTTTTTTCAATGTTTTGACAGACAAAATGAGGGGAAAATTTTATCATCTCAATTAATGTTTTTTTGATGTATGATGCAGGAACATAGGGAAATGCCTGCAGTGAAAGACTTGTGAAAGAATAGTAAGAGTTTCAAGACTAAGTATAGCAGGGTTGTTGATGTATTGAATAACTATAAGACTAGCATGAGTACCAAAGTACAGGCTATACAAAGTCTGAATAAACAAAAGATTGATTGTATAAAGTATAGCTGCCCAAGAATGACTCTACTAACTATGACTCACAATAAGAGATGTGAAGTGCCATATGAATTAGCTAGTGAGCGAGATTATATCCTACAATGTGAAAGTCCAGAATGCATAAATAAGAATAGTAGTGAGATAAATAAGCCCACATATATGTAATAAGACAGAAGCAAACCACTAAGTAGATAAGCATGTAATAAGACATGAGGTGAGCTGCTATATATATTATTCAAATAATCAAGGCTTCTGATAGGTCACTGATGAGAATATTCATATTTATTCCTATGATATATTTAATACCAGATAGATAAGATGGAAGACACACCAGAAAAGTCAAATAAATAAGGACAAAATATGGTATATTGAATTGTAAGTAGAAACAGACCTCAGAAGTAGATGGACTGCCTTTGGACAACTCAGATGCATATATGAAGCTTTCAGAAGGTTAAGGGAGGAATACTATATAAGGTATCTATGAATTTGACAGGATATGAGCCCAATGTTAAACTCATCATTACACCACTCTCTAATAATGCGACACCCACATTGGAAATAGTACTGCTATAGAGTTTTAATCTATGATTGTCTATATAAAAGTTGCAATCCAGAGTCAGAAGTAAGCTTCATGCCCAATCAAGTATTTTATGCCTAATGTTGACTTACATTTTAAATTCTTAGCATTGTTGCCATATCTCTATATTTGAAGAACTTAACAAAGTGACTATTACTTACATTAACAATTGTCCTGCAGCATGCACTTTTGACTATTAGAATACTATCAGCCATAAGTTTGCAGCAATTGCTGGAGAGGGGTTAATATATGTGCTTGTAATTATTGCTGGTTTGGATTTGCAGTAGGTTGTCTCCAAATTAATAAGAAAAATGTCTTAGGAGATTGGAAAGATGCTAAAACAACCAGAGAGTTTAATTGTGTTCTCCTCCTCTTCTATCTGTTAGATTGTTCTTATTGATTTTTGCTAGAGACCCCAAATCTTATCAAAAATCGAATTATACCTATGATCACCCTTTTAAGTAAAATGCTATCTGTGTAGCTTGATACTCTGTTTGATCCACAATTCAGAGGAACATGTGGTCTTTCTAGCTTTATGGATGTCTCAGATCTTGTAGTCTCTGAAATGTGCTTTGATGCTTTCAAGAGCAAGTAAGTCTTTCATCATATTTCCTGGGTCCAATATTTGAAGGATTTAAACTTATTCCAGCAATTTGAGGCTACTCAGCTAGGACCAAACTGTATGGCAAGTTGGTATGTAATTACAAATACCTCCATCCCTGCCACAATATGAAGAAGCTATCAAAGATATATAATTTTTTGGTATAAAAACTTGTTTTGAGTGTGTGTCGCCTCAGAACGCTATCTTTCTAGGTAGTTGTAATTGCACTGCTAATATTGAGTAGACAGATTTGAAACATGGCAAAGCAGAGAAATATATTGTAAATGGTGGTAGGCAATACCACTAAAGACCTGTCCCATTCCCACAGCACCACCACAGCCAAATAGACATTTAGAACGACTCCAGCGTCTGCATACTGCAAACACAACAAAAATGAGGTGGTCTTGCAGAGAAAGGTGTTAGAACTGGTATCTTGAATGTTGCTACAAGAACAGAATTTTATTTGGATCATTATTGGGCAACATACAGGGTATGTAGGGAGTAGTTTGGTAGGAAAATGACCAGTAATAGAAATTCTGTTCTTGTACGGTCGTGCGCAGAGGTGATATAGTTAAAAGTCATGCATGAAGCAAAGTGGTAGGACAAAGAGGTCGGTACACAAGTCTATCAGAGTGCAATAGCCCCTTAAACACATGAAACCTCAGCCACAAGCACATTTTTCCATAAATGCAATGTACCATAAGTGCTAACATTGACCCATTTGACGTGCTTGACGTGTCGCAACTTGTTGCTAGAGCCCATGATAATCATTCTAATGGCTTGTTCATGATATATTCACTTTCTTAATAATTTTGAATGAATAATGGGGTGCCCTTCCCGGTACGGACCTTCAAAAAAACATTGTTCAAAGCCCTCAAGGATCAGCTCAAGCATGCTCGCAAGTGTCATCATAACAAGGAAAACATACCACACCCGTGAGGCACGACTCTCCTTCACAAGCTCCCACAGCAGGTCAAGGTTCTCAAGAAGCAATTGGCTGCTTCAAATGAGAAGCTTGTATGCACTCAGGACCAGTTGCATCAAGTACGCGAAGCTCATGCAACCGCCTATACAAAGGCCAAACATTACCAGAAGGTCCTCAGTTACGAGCAAAAGAAGGTCAAGCGCACCAAAGTTGCACTTGTCAAAGCATTGCAGGATGCTGTGAGGTGGAAGGGAGCTGTGAAGGATAGATCTGATGAGCTCACTCATGCACATGGAGACCTCAAGGAAAAGACAACTCAATTCCTTAAACTACAGTGTAAGCTGCAAGAGGAGGCTGGCAAGATGGAGGAAATAGCAGAAAAATGGAAAGCCGAGTGCTCTCGACTTGCGGAAGAGCTATCTGGGTGTCAACAAAATGTCCTTGCCCTGTGCAAGTGTTGTCAGCATAATGCAATGCATACCATCAAAGCTGCGCTATCCATAAATAAACCACATACCTTCAAACTTATGCATAGAAGGGCCTACACAGTTGAGGCCAGGAGCCTCGCAAGATATCTTATACACACCGGATGCTCACAGGAGTTAATTGGGAGAGTAATTCAGAAAATCGGGATACTTGCAGGAGTTTCTGCAAGCTACATCATGATCCGCCGCACAGTTTCACAAGCCCTAATTGAAGGAGGGGTTGCAACAAGCATTCAGCTTGGCTACAAAATCTCTCAAGCTTATGGTAAGTTTATCGTCAAATGATACAAAAATGACATATGAACACTTTTCAACAGGCTTAACAATAAGTGGTGATGGGACAACTCACAAGAATGTTAATTATGAGTCATGCATTATCGAGCTCAAGACCCCTCTTATACTGCTACATCCCAACAGAAGCACCATGCCCACATCATTTCCGTATCTTCATCTATTAATCACACTAGTGAAACTCAAATCAGCGGATGGAAGGAAGGGATTTCTCACCTGTCATTGACATTCTCACAAAGTCCATTTGCAAAGCACTCAGGTCTGTCACTGGACCTTGACAGCTTCTTAAAAAAACTCAAAGGGATGCACACCAATCATGCAAGCGATCAAAAGAAGATGTGCTGCCTGTGGAAAGAATGGAAACATCGTTTTGTATGCGCTTCCTATGGCTTTGATAATCCCGAAAAAAAACTCACTTTAGCAGTAAGCATGCTCGCTTGCAGGTGCTGCTATTGGTTGTCGAGCACTACAAAGCATGACGGCATGGTGAATCACTTGACGACGAAGTTAATTTTCTCAATTTAATCAATTCTTAAGTCAAATATTAACATAGTAATTCAACAACAACCTTTAATTATACTTTTACTCATACATTGGTACATACTGCCACACCTACTACAGTCACTATACAAGTAGAGTATTTATAAGTAACATAAATACTAACATTTCATAGTAATAGTAGCTGTAATTACTATTGTACACCCTGACGCCATGTTTTCTGCAGACATAGGGTTTTTTTGCTTATATAAGCTGGACAGTTTGTTTGCTGGCATTGCCCACCACCATTGTAAAGGATATTGAAGACTTGGTTAACAAGGTGAGTGATAGGGTATTCTGTCAGTCTTAGCTGATACCTCTTTAGCTTGCAGATTTCTATCAAGATGGCTGTAAGCTTTCAGACTTTTATATTAAGATTCCTAGCACTATTATTTCAAAGTGAGTTTTCCTACTATACTACCTACTTTTATTTCTTACTTAATATTACTGCAAGAGGCACTTTGGATATCCAAAACTCTAACAAATCTCTCATGACATTTATATGTAGAGCATCGCTCACTCATATCTGGGACTATCTTATAAATAATTTAATATCTTGTTTTCATAGTAAAAATATCTTTCAGCCTCAATCTTTTGTCATTACAAGAATAGCTGTAGGTGTATCCGGTGTATCAGCTAATAGCCAGATTAATATAGACCCAGATATTTGAATGTATACATTTCTTATGGTGGAACAGATATACTACAAAGGTCCTTTTAAACTATTGTTATGGCAATTATTAATACTGAAGGCCAACTAGGGTTAAGATGCTCTTAAGGATGTCCCCTTCCACTAGCTTATAAGTATAAATGAGGGGAGCGTTAGCTACAATCAGATATGACCTTATCCTCCAGTTGAAGTAGATCTACTTTCAGGATAAGAATTCTTTCCTATTTAATTTTTCTTCTTATTAGTCTTGAATACTAACATTTGTACTATGGTTCACTATAATGCTGAGGATGAGGAGTTTTGTTTTGTTCTGCCTATAGGAAATTTTTGTGGAGGAACATTAGTAATATACAAACAGGGCTTAGCAGTTGAATTGAGGGAAAAAAATGATGATCTTTAGATCATGCAGTAGCACACAAATGCTGGTAATGAAAGAGCAGCAGAGCAACTTAAAAAGGTTGATGATGTCATCACTCACTCCCCTACTAAGAAGAAGCTTTGTAAGTCTAGAGCTGTACAGAAGCAATCTCTTAACTCTCTAGCACCTATACCAAAGGCCTCTTAAAAGGCCAAGGAAAAAAAAACAGAATAGGTAAGATTTTATAATCAGGCTACCCTTTACTTTCCTTAACTCATTTTTCATTCATAAACTCTAAGACTTCTCAGACAATAAGGCCATCATAGTCAAATGCAGATATAGGACTTAGTAAGCCTATCTTTACTTGTGTAAGACCTTGTTTAGGTGTAGTGTAGTGTAGTGTAGTAATGTAGACAATGTATCATGAAACAAATTTAATTTGACTTATCAGGATCATGAATGTGTGATAATTGCATTTTTTGAGTTATTTGGATAAGGAAAGTGTTGAGTTGAATTGGTGGATACTTGTTTGTATCATAAAAGTGTAGTTTTTTGTTTGGTGAACACAATTTTTGCTTATTCATATAAGGAAAGTGTTGTGTTAAATTAGTGGACACTTATTTGTATTGAAAAAGTGTAGTCTTTTGTTTGTTAGGTACAGTTTTGGCTTATTTGTATAGGAAAAGTGTAGTATTGAAAAAGTATTGTCTTTTGTTTGTTGGACACAATTTTGGCTTATTTGCATAGGAAATGTGTAGTGGCTGATATAGTGGACAGTTTTGACATATTTGAATTGCAAAGTGTAGTCATTTCATATAGTGGACACCTGTTTATGTATACAATTTTGACATATTTGGTGATTTTAGATAGACTTTCATTAGGAAAGTGGTGAAGAAAATAAGAAGTGCACAAATTTGGTCATTTTGGGTAGACTTTCATTAGGAAAGTAGTGAAGAAAATAAGAAGTGTGCAAATTTGTTGATTTTACATAGACTTTCATTAGGAAAGTTGTCAAAAGAATAAGAAGTGTGCAAATTTGTCAATTTTAGATACTTTCATTAAGAAAGTTGTCAAGAGAATAAGAAATGCACAAATTTGTTGATTTTAGATAGACTCTCATTAGGAAAGTGAAGAAATGAATTTTGTATAGCAAAAGTGTAGTGCTTTAATATAGTGGACATTTGTATATGAACACAATTTTGGCAATTTTGTGTAGCAAAAGTGTAGTGATTGATATGGTAGACAGTTGTGACATGTTTGTGCAGAAAGTGTCATCTGTATGACACTGCTTATGTTACTACTTAGTAATGTTAGTACATATGTTATGGTGTTACTAATTAGAGGGGAAAGGCTTGTACACACAACTTCAGTACTACCACCAGCACCTAGGACTCACTCCATAGGTATGTTTTATATATTATATCAGCTTATCAATCATCTTTGCCGGCAATAGTCATAGCCTTTGTTTTAACTGCTGATGATGTCGGCAACTGTCATTGTCTCCCATGGCCATCACACACCTTTGCTCATCGTCTCGAACGATGAGCACATATATACCCCCTCACTGGCTCAAATTTGGAGCCATTTTTTCATTTTTGCTTTTTATCTGTCGTACTATCTTTTCTAATATGTTTTGAAGGTATTTATTTGCAGGAATGGCTACATAGGAGCACACCATGACCAGGTAAGTTCTAAGCTTACTAATCTTGTGTATTGTTGTTACCTACCCTTTTATAGCACCATGAAGCAGTGGCCGCCACTACACTCTACCTCATGATGTGTCACCATGACAGTCCTTCGGAGCAGTGGCCTCCAAAGAACATCTGCTGGGATCCTGCATATTCAAACAAGCAAGATCACCTCAATGCTGAGTGCCAACTTGCTGAGAAAATCAACAGTGAGTGATCAGTCCTTTCCCATCCCTAATTCTCAACGGCAGAACAGGTCAACATGCACAGCAGGCAGCCCTATCTACTGACACCATGAAGCAGCAGCTGCTACACTCTACTGCACAGCATGTGACTACAACGGACAGTCCTTTGCATCAGTGGTCTATGAACTCTATCTCCTGCCATGTTACCATGGTACTTTACTCTACCTCCCAACATCTTCCATTGATGGTCCTTTGCAGCAGTTGCTATACTCTACCTCCTGACATGTTACCATGATGGTCCTTTGGTGTTTTGTTGCTATCATACTTGTCTTTGTGTATTCAACCACTATGAATCTACTTGTTATTGTATGTTCTGTCACTATTTTAATTGCCTTTTTCATGAAATACATATGAGCATTGAAAAAGTCACCCAGTCTTTGAGAAAAATAAGTCTCTAAAAAAACTTTGAAGCAAACGAGTCTCTGAAAAAAGACACCAAGTCTTCAAAACAAATGAGCTTATGACAAAAGTGACTGAGTCTTCAAAACAAATGAGTCTATGACAAAAGTGACTGGGTCTTCAAAACAAATGAGTCTCTGAAAAGAAAAACTGGGCTAGTCTTCATCACTGCTCTCAATCAACTCTGCGCTCTTCTCAACAATCTTGTCACCACTGCTTTCGACATATTCTGTACTCTTCTCAACTCTCTTTGCAGCACATTTCTTCCTTAGCTTGTAGACATGCTCTCCCTTAGCTTGATGAGCTTGGTTACTAGCAATTCTTGCCACTAACACCTCTTCTGAGAGCTGCACACAATGACATTTGTGAGCTTCAAGGGCATCAAGGAGACATTTAACTTGCTCACTCACATCTACCAATAGTGGAGGGATTACAAATAGGCAAAAGATCCAAGAACCATCCTACTAGCGCAACACCATAACACTCGATGATGGAACCTTTCTAATTGCTGTAATTCATTTTGATGTGATTTGTGAGCTTCTTGTTGTGCAAAGTGTCATTATTATGTGAGTCAGTAATGTGAGATACTCATAGCAATATTCACAACACACCAAGCTCATCTTGTATGATCATTCAGCAATCACTGATCAATTTGTTGAGTGTGTGCGGCTGGCACTGCATAGATGGAATATTGGTATCTGCAAGCCAATGACCCAAATTAGTGTGGCTGTTGAGTCAATGAATCCCTTGGATGACATACCGAGACCTGGTATCGCAAAAGCCTTAAGTTTCAATGCCAAGTGTCGAGGCTCCAACTCCAGAACTGCACAGACAAATTTCTCAGCCTTCCCTGAAAAGAAAAACCTTGGTTCACTAAGGTCTTTGATGCCTCCTCTGACAGCAATATAAAAGCCTTTAATATCAAGATGAATCACAATGGACTACCTTAGGATTATCATGGACAACATGTTGCTTTTCAGCACGTATCTTGATAAGCTTTGCTGTGTATCTGTTCTTTTGAGCAGTTGTGAGCTTTGAATAATCACATTGAAGTGTTTCTTTGTGAGCAGAAACAAACTCAGTGAGTTTACAGTGGTCCTCTTTTGGAAGACCTAGAGATAGTTAGAAAAATATGAGCTGTGCAATAATGTACATACCTTCATTGATACCATTCAGTTGTTGGTGAATGAATCCATTCCATGTGTTGGGGCTACACCAGAGAGACTTTCCATCAAGATATAATTGATGTTGTGTCCAGCGCTCAGGCCTGAAAGTGAGTGAGCTTGAATATAGGCCATTGATAGTATCAACTTACTGCCTGTGTTTTTTGACAGGCTTCCAACCTCTCAGAGATATGTGTTTCTTGCACCATTAACATCTGCTGTGAGTGACCTGAACTTCTCTTGATGGGCCACTTTTTGAGATGTTGTGACACTCTCCCAATTTTCCCTCTCAAACCCAGTGTCTTTGTTAATGCAGGCACAGATCTCATGTATCATATCATGTGGAAGGCAATATGCTCCAAAGAGAATCTTCGCATCTGCAAAGGTTATAACAGTGTGTTCAGTACTGTTTACATTTATGATAGAAGGATTATTTTTGGTCCTAATAGCAGCATGTTTGGTAGTTTTGTGTTTGGTAGTGTCTTCATCGGTGTTGTAAGGGTGATATTAGTTAAGATCCAGTAGATAAGACAAGACTTACAATCCTTGGAAGTAGATGGCATGGGCATCAAGCCTGTCACATTGGTACTTGGTTGGGAGGATGGTGGTATACATGAGGTGGAGGTCATCATGGGCCCAATAGTTTTGACACTTGAGACTGAGGGTAAGATGTAATCATCTTTAGATGGCAGATTCAAAGAGTTAGTGATTAAAATCGAAATATGAAAAACTTACTATTATGCAGCACTAGATGAGATGGTAGTTCAACTCTTTTCCAACACTGCTTAAACCACTCTTTGCAGACTTGAGGAAGGACATTGTTCAGAAGAGTTGTTGTGATGTCACTAACGGCATTGGCAAGCTTCAGTGATGGTTAGTGAGATGTTGTAGATTTTAGTGTGATGTCTGGTGACATGATGGCAGTGAATTTATGACTGTACTTCGCAGTTTTTCCTTAGTGTGAGTAGATAGTATGTGAACCACCTGAATGAAAATTGAATGTGGCATGAAATTTAATGGTAAGATAGTTGTGCTGTAATGATTATCAGTATACAGAATTGCATAATAAAGAAAAGACTGACCACTAGGTTTGTATCATCATCTGCAAATGCAAGATCTAAGTATGCCAAGCAGTGAAGGGGCTGAAACAGATGGCCATCTGGTGTATCAGATTCAAGGACAAATGTGCTGGCCTTTCTAGACATGTGAAAACAGAAAGAAAGAAGTGAAAAACACGTTACAGACATGTGCTATATGACGAGATAACCAAATGCATCATGATTGTGTAAGAGTATTGGTAAGCCTACTACTGCACCTCTGAATGACATGTGCTCATCAATGACAAAGCACAGCACAATGTTATGGAGACAGTTAACTCTGATATTAGCCACTTCCTCCTCTCATTGTAAAAAGAAGAGATGGGGAGGATGAGTGCTCTGCAGATTAATTTACTATAATCAGGCACATCAAAGTATATACACTAGTAGATACATATAGATAAGCCACTGCACCTAATGACATGTGCCTCATCAATGGCAAAGCACAGCGGCACAATGTCATATCTCACTGTCAAGAACTTTCTCAAGACAGTTAACCCTGACCTTTAGCCACTTCCTCCCCTCATTTGAAAGAGAAGAGATGGGAAGGATGAGTGCTCTCCAAATCCAGGCCCTGAATATTCTTTCATTCAGGTCAGGTTATATTTGCTTTTGGTGGGTAACCGTCAGTAAACTACAGTGACCATAACATTTGTTCCATGTAAGCTTCAAAACGTGCAGCCTCCTCACCATCTCCACTATCTAACCCTCCAATATCTGCCTCCTCGCCATCTTCAACATCTAACCCCCCAATGTCTGCATCCTCACCACTCTGGTAATGAGGCGGTGACCAGTGTATCCTTCCAGGCAATAGATGCGCATGAGGCAATCACAGTGTACAGTGTTGATTCTGCACTGACAACAAGCTACCATGTGCAATTAAAATCCAAATTTCAGCATCGAGTTTGATAATCTCCTCCCAAGCACAGAGAACCTTGAAATGTTTTACTGCCATTCACGGTGAGTGGAGTTTGTCCATGGTTTGGTGAGTATCTCGTGTCGTGAGTATTTGAGAAGGTTGAACTCACCAAGTACTGCATATGATATGACTTCACAATATTGCAGTGTGGGTCATCAGGGATTTTGCGAGACAGCGAGTGTGTTATACTTGTCAAGTGCAGAGTGGATTGCACCAGAATGCTTCACAATGGCTTTAGAAATTTGTTTCCAAAGTTTATACCCTAAATCGGTGAAATTAGCAGTATAAATGAACAAAATATTGAATGTACCTGTTGATGCTAGATTAGCCTTTGATAGTTCAAACAAGCACTATATAATCAGACTTACGAGTTCCTCAATAGCGCAAATGAAGTGCTGGCAATGGCTATACTCTAGAGCCTTGACATATTCCACATAATCAGGTGTCCAACAGTCAGATACCCCAAGGCAAATTTTGAGATCTGCAACAACATTGATCTGGACTTGCAGCCTATGCTCAGCAGCATGATGAACTGCATTCCCCATTTAGTAGCCTGTGCCTCAGAAATGCTAAGACCAGAATTTGGCATAAATGATAACTGGTTGTATGAGATGAATTGATCTTGGTGGGAGGCATTAAAAGCATTCCTGAAATATTAAATTAAATTGTGTATCTAATTAACAGACAAAAATAAACTCACTTGTACTTGGCCAGCTTCTCAAGTGCATCATGTTGAGGCTCTGACCCCACAACGAGCAGATATCAACATTCTTCATCAATCCAAGAGTCAAAGTCCAGTATCTTGTCAGGGTACATTGGACGATATGCTTCAATCTCCTTCATATAGTTGGCAATTATCATAAGCACTTGTCGGTGGTTGTTGAAAAGGAAGCAACCTAGTTTGTATTCAAATTATGGAACAGCATGCACATGAGCAAAGCACTTACTGAGTTCAAGATATTTGTCCATGTCCCATTGATTGAAATGAAGGTCAAGATATTTGACATAATGGAATTGTGAGGCATGCCATATAAGCAATGCTGCAGTATTAGAGCCTGCAAAGATGTGTTCACAGGTCTCCAAGTCTTCAAGTCCCAGTCCACAACAATAAAGTGGATGGTGTTGGAGTTGACATTTGCAGTCATGTGCATGTCAATGGAAAGCATTGACAGCAAGAAGTAGGTGGTGGTCTGCAGCCTTGTCACAGATTGAGCTTGTAGTGACTGTCTTTGCTAAACTGCAGCTGATGTCACTGCTGATGGCCTGATTGTGTCCGAAAACATCGAGTAATTTGTTGATAATAGCAAGGGGATACTTTGCACTGTTTATATACATCAGTATGTGATTGTATATTAATAGTTTGCATAACAACATACAGCTCACTACTATGTCACATCTCTGCAATTGTTTGGACCATCCCGTGTTGACACGCTGATAGGAAGATTGCTGTCTGCTCGAAGATATTGATAATGTTCTCATCAGTCGAATTAGCTACTTTCTAGTTGTCAGTACATGCAAGATGGTGATTTGTGTCACTGTTAGTGACCTATTCACCTGGATGTAAGTGAACATCATCCTTGAATGCATCAACATCTTATGATGTGATCATGTACCAACTTGTAAACTTGCGATAGTCTGCATGGCCTGTGGTTGCTATTCGCTTGGCCGAGTTGTTGCCATCCATGGCCCTCAAAGATTCTGGATACAATGTCAGTTCATCAGGTTGCTAGTAAGACAACATTAAATATATTGAAATCATAATAGAAAATTCTTACCTTAAATGTGCATGCTGGACAGCAAACAAGTTGTTAACACCTGCTGCCCAGAACTGTTTTCTCTGGGGCCTAGGAGTCTTCTGCAGGCAAACAAGGTCAGCCTCATAAGTAGCAAAGTATGTGACCACTATGTTTCTGCAGCATTACAAAATATTCAGTGTCATAGACAACACAAGATAACACTTACCTCAAAATGCTCATGGCTCGCTCATGAAAGAGCAAACTGACCATTGCCCAGGCCCCTGCATTTGGATATGTATCTCAAAGATCTATCATAGTGTCATGAATACTTTCGATGGTATTGTTATGTGCACAGAAGGCCCATTCCAATTTGTATCTTCACCAATTTCATGAGTCTAGATTTTGAAGTTTTGAGTAAGTAAGCGCCACAGCACATTATAGTTGAAAGACTTACCCAAGACCATAGCATGAGGTATCATAATGATTTTGTAGGCTCTGAACAATCTGCTTGTCAGTTTGTCATGTCTTCCACAATTGAACAATGTGCGGAGAAATAGCATCAAGAGGTGCTAGAACTTAACATCAAGCCAGTAGTAGTGTTAGAGAACAACAAGTACATATAAGATGGCTTAGTTCTGATTCAGCATTAGGTGCTACAGCTGCTAGTGGATACAATGAGAGAGGATTGAAGCAAGTACAATCAAAATTAGTGACAAACAAGAAATAGTATATAAGTGGATTGACTTTGCCTGGTTTGACAGTGGTTTGATAGTGAATCTCATTAGTGGGGACACCATGAGCTTCAAAAAGTTGACCTTTCAAGGAGCTGCTCATGATATTTGTCAGGCATTTTCTAATCAGTGCGGAGGGGAAAAGACTGCAAATCTCTGCAAGACAAAGTGGACTAATATCAGCACAATCACCATCATCCATTACCAGCTGCAGCTTACTGTAACTATGTCTTGATAGCTAAAGGCTTCTTACAACACTGTTATTAACATCAAGAAAACTTCGGGCTTTTCATAGAGTAATAACCTTGGAGCAGGAATTATGGACACACATGGGGACATTTGGGAGAAATATGTCAAGGTAAGTCAGTGCACCCATTTTTAACTAAACTGTCATTAAACTACCTGCAATACTAGAACAGTCCTGCTGTGAAACCATTCAAGACCAAGGGGTTCTCGCACTTCAACACAATTAACCAGATCATGCCCCATGGGCCAAGTGCTGCAAAAGGAAAGTTCGTCAAGTACCTTGTAAGTAGTAAATAGTACTAGTCTTTTCCATGGTACCGGTCATACTACAATTTTTGTCCCCATCTACAGTCTGTAATTCAATAAGTATGATACTGCCTAGTCTTACATTGGTGCTGGTACTGCAAGTCCATGCTAAGCTTGTTCTTCTAAGTAATCTGCCCACATGGCAGCCACTATTTCATCACAATGCTGATCAGCTCTTCTCCTCTCCCTACCATCTGCCAGCCCATCTGCCAGATTCCCCTGCAATCCCTCATGCAACCAGTGCGCACTATCATCAATGTCATCATCACCAGTGATATCTAATATCTCACCTTTTAAGTTAAAATCTTGACCAAAGTTAGGGTCACAACAACAGATCAAATTGTGCAAAGCACACAGGGCCAATGGTAAGCGGACCTGGATATCCATGCGGTACTCTGGAGGGAGTTGTAAGATGCGCTATTGGTGTTTGACCACCCCAAATATGTGTTTGATTATGTTGCACAGTGAAGCATGGCAAAGGTTGAAAAATTCTTTAGTGTTCTGTGGGCTTGAATACATGTCAAATACAAGATAACAAATGAAAGAAAAAGCTGATGTGAGAGATGCCTTACACCATTCTTTGAGGTGATAGTGCACACCCCCAATATGGAACCAATAGTAAGTCACAGGTGCCAAACCCTGCATCTGCAAGCAGGTATCTTTTTCCTGGTATCCGCAGGTCATGTTGGCATGTATCATTCCAAAGCACTGCATCAGCAGACAAGCCATTACAGCCACAAAGTGAATAAATGAACAAAGAATCAAAATTACATATAAAAGGCAATTCTGAGAAACATAACCCTTCTGGTTATGCATAAAGGCCTGATTAGCGAGTGTTGTAAATGCACGAATGTGTGTACCATTGACTGTGCCAATACCTTTGTCAAAAAACAAAAGCGAGGGTTGTTTTGTGTCGACAAAAGGGATGGGGGAATTAATTGTCAGAAATATATATAAAAATGGCCAGTTGTTCCTCGACTGTGACACCATTGTGAGATTGAACATATCCATTAGTCTGTAGAACTTAGAGTAGTTCTTCATATACTTCCAGGTTGACCTCTAGATTGTGTCTGATTCTGTCTGGGTGGCCTGTGAGGAGCTTGAGAACCCATGCATGACCTGTCAAGGCAGACATATGGGTATGGGACACTGGTGCGTAGAGTTAGGAAGAGTTCATTATTTATATGATTATTCACCTCTACAGTATGCATTTCTATGTCTTCTATGTGTATGTGTCTTATTGTGCCTTCATACTCATGGTATTATTGTTAAGATGAGATTGAAGTGGGCCACTTCTAGAGGCTACTGAGAGACCAGAAGAGATCAGACTAGAGTCCAAAGTAAGTTGCCAATCTATTGAATGGTGTAGTGAAGTGGTACAGTACCTAGAGTCCAGAGTAAGTTGCCAAAGAGGCAGGGAGCACTGGACTCTGGGATATGGGCGATGTATGGTAACCCATGGGTCACCACATACTGACCCATACTTTTACCCACAAAATACCTATAAACAAATATAAACAGACAAGCCACAATCAAAAGATAAGTAATAACTCGTCCTAGGGAGATCAGGAAGTCATGTAAATAGTAAGTCAAGTGCTAGCAATAATACCATGAGTATGAAGGCACAATAAGACACATAGAAGACATAGAAATGCATACTGTAGAGGTGAATCATCATATAACCAACATAAACCTTCAATTATAGCAACCAGTGCATTATATAATAACCGGGCAGAATTTGACTGTATGTGCACAAGTTTATGAGTGGATTGTATCACTAAAATATGATCAGGGATTACTAATCTCATTGTGAATGATCCTGAAACATGGGTAGTGTATGCAGAGACACTTACATTGGCAAAAGATTTGGTAGAGTTTGCATTTACTGGTGAAATGAAGAACTAGTAGTTCTAATAAGTAAATTTTGAGCCTGTAGTACTTCTGAGATATAATGATTAACGTGTCACCAGTCACTAGTCACTCTCTAACAGTTTTTGGGCAGGCAGGCAGGTGTTGCATATGTGGTTGACAAGGCAAGTTGAAATTGGCTCAAAGATCATGTGAGAAAATGACATAATCACAGAAGTTTCGCCATTTGAACATGACCTTACAGAGCAAGATTATACAAAATTACTGGTCCTCATATAGACTTATATCTATTCTGTGCTGTGCTTACAAATATTGTCTGCTCCAGCTGTCCTTCACCTCATCCCTTGGGTCTCAACCCATTCTAAAAAGGATCCTGAGAGTCAACAGTGTACCAGGAGAGAGTTTCTCTGTTTGTGGTAGTGACACATGGGAACAAATGGAAGGCTAAAAGATAAATGAGTGTATCTTAGTCACATACTCATAGTTAGGCATTGACACAGGTATAGGTAACCTGTGCGGGTCAGTGGTATGGGTATGGGTCTAACTTTCAAGACCTGTGACATCAACTCATACTTGTCCATATTACACAGTTTGTTTTTTCAATATTGTATCTCTATGCAAACTAGTATAAATCTTCGAGTAGATTCATCTAGGCATCTTAGTTCTTATTAGAAATTAAGATGTGAGCCATTTATGTTTTCATGCATGCTATATAGTACTGACGAGACTTAGTTACATTGTTCTCCTAAGTACTTAAGCTTGTACAAAGAGCTCTTACCAGAACTGAGATTTACATTGTTCTCCTAGCATTTGTCTCCTCCTGCTTGATTATATTCACATCAAGTACCGGTAAGAGAATTTATTCTAATAACATTGTCAGCTCATATATAAGGGAATGAAAAGGTATAGCTCACATATCAGTCTCAGTAAAAGGATCAAGATGTTTGTATGGCAAGATACATTGTTTTTAATATATAGGTAGAGTAGGAGAGAACAAAATGAGAGTGAGACATATGTATATGAGGATGCCTGTTTGGCCAAGGATGGCTTGATGGTGCTCATTAACCACTGTCACTTATCTTTAGATATGTCTGTGCTCTTGGACTCCAACATCTAGCTGGCAGATCTGTACTATTGCTTTGAATATTTAAGGAAAATCAAAGACTTCATTCAGAGGATATGTGCTGTAAACTGGGACTAGTGAGTTGCCTTTGAACTTTTGCTGAGATATTCTCCTACTCGATCTGAGTATACTTTGCATGGCTGTGTTCTGTGTTGCTGGCTTACATAAGCCACATATTCCTTTTTGTAAGTATCACTCTGAACCTGCACCTACATCACATCAACCAAAACACTACCCCAAATTGTCCCATATGTCTACACACAGAAGAGTCAATACACCATTTCCTCTTCAAGTGTCCTCAATATGACTGAGAATACTTTATCCTCCACCAGAAACTATCCCACAAATCCACCCTTTTCCCCTTCTTGCTCACAGACTTAACAATAATGGATCATGTTCTCAGATATGTAAACAGTATAGGCCAACTGAAGTCTACATTTGGTGATGTGACTCTCCCCCCTCCACCTGACAGATAATGATGTGCTTCAGTTCACAAATACCATGCACCAGATACACACACTTACGATAGGAAGAGAGTAGTCAAACTCATTTTCAAATGGACCGCACATCTAAAATGGCCAGCAGGAACAGTGGACTGACAGGGGACATCTTACATCAGGACATTCACAAGTCCAGAGATGTAGATAGGGCAGAGGCCCTGTAGAATAAATAGGACTGTCTGGAATAGGGTACACTACCTCAATGGACAGAAATTAGAAATAAAAAGAAAAAAAGTAAGTCAGATGTTATTTTGTGTCAGGTGGAGCCTTACATTATGATTGTAGCTACTTAGCGCATGTCATCAATCTCAGCAAGCAACTCCTCATAAGCACATACAGCAAGGCTACCCACTATGACTTGCATGACCTTCATACTTTGGAGCTCCACATGTCAACTTGAGGAGACCATGACAAAATTGGACTTATGTACTCAATATGTGTGAAGAAACACTTAGCAGCAAAATGGAAGGAACTTTACAAGAGTGTTCAGGTCAAGGCTGGCATCTCAAACCCCACACAGCTTCTTCTTGATATGAAGGTCTGTTGGTCCTCAATCTATATAATGATCAATTGTGCAGAAAGCAGTAAGGAGGCAAGTCTAGTCTACTATTCACAAAGTATTACCCAATTTAATCCTAGGCCCCAGCATGTTGATGTTCTTGTTTACGAGATGGATGTACAAGATGCAGTTTGACAAAACATGCCAAAATTGATTACCTCTGTTTGATCTCAACCAAATGAATGCTTGTTAGTAAATTTGCTGATCTACTATGAGTATATTTTATTTTGTATTCACAAAGTTCCCTCTAATTTATTTCTTCAGTATGCAGATGTAGCTCAACAGGCCTTCTCATCAGACAAGAGGACTACACATCATTTGGCCATTCCTGTCCTTAAGACTCTTCATCAAGTTTGGTCAAATTGTGCAGGCCAACCTAAATATTCCTGTTTTTCTCCCACACTCCATGCTGCTGCACAAAAGATCAACCAGTACTATGAAAAGACAACTGACTTGCCAACATACATTATGGCTATGTGCATATCCTGTTTTATTCATGGAGCACCACATGTTAGTGATATTTGTATACATTACTCAATCTAATAAGTAAGATGGAGTACTTCAAGAGGCATTAGTCAGAGGACCTGCAAGACGAGGTCCTTGCTTATGCAGAACTAGAGGTACATTCAATTATGTGGTTGCTCATTTTGTATTACTGATCTGGGACTTAGTTTGAGACTCACTATCTTGTGATGGAAAAGTTAGCAATGGCTGTGCAACTACCTGTGAAGATAGGCAAAGCCCACAGCCTCAAGAAACTCATTCACAAGGCTTAGTATTGATTATATACTAGCAGATGATAACAGACAGTCAAAATATGGACAATGACAAGAGAAATAAGTCGGAGAAGTTATTGGAAGAGGTGAGGGAGTGTAACTGGTGGATATTTGGGGTGGACTTGCTGCTCATAGTATGTTTACCGATTTATATGTGTTGATGTAGGTTCTGATGATAATATAAAGGTAGTTAGACACCTCACCCCCTCTGCATGATGTGCTGCTTGAGAAACACCTTGTAAGTTGATTCTATATTTGTCATCTCACTCCAGTTACAACTTCGTGCAGAACATTTTCACTAATCATGCCAATCAGCTCAATATCGCAGTCAGTGTCTCCTTTAGTAGTACCACCATGATATCAGTTTTACAGGATGCTTTGCAGCCATAGCTGTTATCTGCTGATAGATGGCAGTAGACCTTCACTTTACCATGGAGTGGAACACTGTTATAAAGATTGCTCATAGTGCAACATATTTGTATTATCTCAACAATTAAGAGCAGGTATTGTACTTACTTTTACAGATAGCAAAATGAACCTAGTGAAGTTGGCTGGGTATTTCAGGTGTGTTCTACCAATTTACTCATTTTTGGAATGTCGAACAATCATATCTTAGCAGGCTTTGTGTGTTGCTCCAACCATAGATTGCTCTTCTTAGCTCTGGCATATCCAAATGTGTCCATTTGCACCCTCTGTCACCCTTTCTTGCACTAACAATACACTCATGCCTTCCAGATTGGAACTCAATATTTTTACTGGCTACAATTTCAGTGTGTGCCGATAGTAATGCTGAGATCTTTTTCAACTTGTTCTCATTGAACATATTTACATGTTTGGACCATTTAGACATGTGATCTGATTTGGTGATAGTAGATGAAGGCTCTGCTCTGAAACCTTTGTCTGTTGTATCTAATGTCACAATCCTACCCCGCTGCTGACAAGTATGTAATCTTTGTGCGTTGCTCTGTAACTTCTGATGACAGACTACAACAAACCATATGCCAGCCTCATTGCTGCTGGGGCAGACACTCTCCACATTGGTATGAGTAGTGGCTCTCTAATTGGTGTGCAACAGGTCTGCTGACCAGAATGGTACGGAGTTTGTCCAGATTCTCATCATCTCAGTCATGTTGGTTGTTGTCACTATTTTAGAAGGTAAGGGCTCTGCTTTTTTACATCAAGTGCACTACACCTTAATGAGTGTGTTTATAATTAGGACTCCCATTGGCTGTGACTCACTTTAGCATTTGCTACTAAGAGGATGACAAAAGAAAATCTCCTGGTATGTGTCTTGGTCTCTTGTGAGATGATGAGCAACTCCTCTATCATCTATACTGACAAGACTGGTATGCTCACTTGCAATGTGTAGATAGGAATCAAATATATATTTCCTCAGGTATGGACAGAATATAGATTGAAATATAGATTGAGTCTAGATTGCATACAGATAGCAATGACAGAATACATCGCAGATCCTCCTACGCAGCAGCACCTCAAGCAGAAAGCCAGCAAAAAGGATGTGGTACCAGTGAATGGATGAGCAGAAGGTCCATGTGGTCGAGAAGCAAGAAGTTGCAAGAGCAGGTTGTAAAAGTGCTTCTGGACGATCCTCACATCATCTCTAGGCCTGTCGTCTCTGTTTCCCCATTGTCCCCGTCCTCCTGCCAGTACTAGCGCTATGTTCCAGCACCCATTAGGCATGCAGTGCCATCCAGAAGAAGCTGCCACGACACCTGCAGAAAAATCTGTTAGCATGGCTCAAGGGGTTCAGAATATGAATCCACACCCAGTTCCATCATCCCCAGTTATTCCCAACAATCCTTTCATGAACACAGCACCCGATAATCACCACGGTGGTTTCAACCCGTCAGGTCTAGGTTTGTATGGCGAAGGACTCGCTGGAGGGCATGGTGGAGGGCATGTTGGGAGAGTCATCTATTGCTGGGCAAATAAAAGTTCGCGAGTTTGGATGTTTGTCCTTGGGCATCTCAGGAGATTTCGTGGTTGTGCAAGTGGACGGTACGATTTTGATCGTCTAGCAACATGAGACGCTGATTTTTCGACAATAAGTAAAAAAAAACTTACAAGAGGCCCAGGTAAGTCTGGAATGAACGTGACCTGTATCATTTCTGGGTACTTGAGAGGTAGTTCAAGACATATGGTGTTGTCTTCAAACACGAGCATGATGTGAAGTACTAAGTAGAAGAAAAGACTTAGCAATTTTTTTGACTCTTGGGCCATCGCAACGTACAGATATACCCTTCGAGCATGCCTGTACACTGGTTAGCATTGAGTTTGGAATGCTGCTTGGACGTGTGCAGTTAGCTGGTCGGTACATATGTCTAAAGTATAGTTTGGGTCTGTTTACCACGCATGTCTTCTATCCGTCGGTCCAGTTTTTTCCGAAGTCAAACAGCTGTACCACCATATTCCCCAAGTCTAGTTTGTGTACAGATATACTACAAGTTATGGTGTCTAGGCAGACAATTCATCCACGTCCAGATAGGGTCTGGACAATTTCTCATTTCCACAGTGAATGTGTTTGTCCAAGATCTTAAGCAGCGCATCAAATTCAATGGGTCGGTGGAGAGCCTGGCCATCAACACTGCCAACCTGAACTGGGAAATTGAGCCTTAGGAGGTCCATCCACTCCAATCCAAGCAGAATAAAATCCTTGAAGTAGTTGTCAAACTGCATTGTGATTGCAGCTTTGCTGTTATCAAAGCATCCAGCAATACTCTGGTTGCTCCATGCATGTGGAAGCCATGCTTTCAAAGTGTTCAAATGGTGTTCCATGCCAAGTGTGACACTGCATCCAATGCAGACCAAAGAAAAGATGTAAAACAGTGATTCAAGATCATCTGAATAGTCTTGCTTGACGGATTCAATTGCCAAAAGGAGCTGCTGTGACATGAATGGAACTGTGCCCTGCAAGTTAGGTTAGCATATTTCCTCCTGAATCAATCATACACTCACTATCTCACTGATGGCATAGTTGTTCTGTAGGGTGATAAGTACAGTGAATTCCCAGTTGATTAATATTATTCCAAGGCTATCATCATTGGCATCCTTGATTATCACATTGTTGAGGCTGCAATCATGATGCAAAATACCTCATGCATGTGCTTCCTGTTGAACTGGGAGATCACTTTCTGGTTAGTATCAACATACTATATGTATATTTGGAAGGAGAGATATGCTTACTGGTCATGATGTCACATATAGCTCAAATAAATTCCAACTTCATTTGAAATTGAGTTCAGGACACCACAGACACCCTGCATCTTCTTCAATATAATGACCTCATTTAAGATATTTTCATCATCTGCATTTCCAAGGACCCAGTGGACCTTGATGATGTACTCTTGGTCATCCTTCCTGACCAAGTAGCAAACAGTGTCATGACCAACCAGGCTATGACTCGAAAATATGACCTCCAGGATATTGTACCAATTGTTGTTGACTTGAATTTTACTGATTGGTGACAAATTTAGAGGAACAGAAGTTTGGGCAATGAAAGGAACTAGCAGGGTAGAAACAGCTGAGGGAGGCAGCTCAGAGGAGAGTGCAGGAGGACCAGTCCTGATATCAGGCTACTCATCTATGTAGCTCAAAGGAGGAGAAGATGCTTGATAGGCAATCATCACTAGAAGTCTGTGAGGGTGAAGGTTTGTATGATGAAGCTGACTCACATCTTGACTCCTGGCTGGAAGCTTCATCTGACTCGCCTGACTTGTTGAGTCCTCATCTGACTCACCTAACTCCTCACCTGAGGCCGTATCTTCTGACTTGGCCTATGTACTGGATGTACCCTGAGTAATGACCCTCTTCGTCAGAGCATGCAATCTCCTGAAAAGGACCAGAATAACATGATAGTATAGGGAGTTCAAGCTGTCAAATGTTCATTGTCATATCAAAACCGATGCACTTATTATTGCTAAAGACAATAGATGAGAGGATTTGCAGAAATTGGTCCTTCTGTCAGTCAATATGGAATGAAGGTGATACAGCAGAACAAAAGTGGTCGTATATGTGGACATGAAGTTCATGATAGTGATTACATAGAGATAGCATGAGAGTGAAGTGCCTCTAGGGCTGGTGCTTCAAGATAATATGTGCCTTGGTGTTAAAGGATTTTGCAGCACACTTCCCTGGCCAGTACTTGCTCTTCATCACCTCAGCTACGACCTTGATGCCTGCCCACCCAGAATTAGATTCATCTGACATAACAATGCCAGGTTTGTGGGAGATGTTTTCTCCCTTTATTGCAGTGATTGAGTCCACCCCACTCCATACACAATTTTCTCGATTAGCTTTGAGTCTGTGTTGAGAAAGTGCCACTGTGAGGCTATTCTGAAGCCCCACAACTATGTGTTCAATAGTCGAGTTTGAATTGAAAGTACTGCCTCTGCCAGGTGCCTCACTCCCCCCTGGCGTCTCCCCTCATGTCTTTCACCCTTTTTACTCTTTTTGTGCTCTTGTTTGGGTGGATCCGGTGTAGAAACAACAATTCAGATGGTGTTATACTGAACTATATGTTGGGTCTTGCTTGCCTAAGCTGCTATGCTTGTAGTGACAAGAGCATTTGACCCTAAAGGGGAAGCAAGTGCAGCAGAAATCTAGGGATTGGTGTGGAGGGTGCCGCTCGTCGGCTGATGTGAAGTGTGGGAAAGTGTGTGAGGTGCGAGCACGGATATGGAGTGCTTAAGCGGCGCAGAGCACATTATGGAGCGGTTAAGTGGTGCGAAGCGTGGGAGAAGCGCAAGGTGGGAGGGGTTATAAGAAGAGGCTCATAATAGACATTAAAGATATTCTTATTGCCAATAGCTACTGACTATGGCATGTAACAGATGAGCTGTACACTGATAGTGAGGTGCAGGGAGCTTCTATATGATTCGATGATGTAAAATATGAATTACAGGCACTTATATATGTCTAAAAATGCACCCCTGAAGCAGAGCCGAAGTGAGTAGGTAAAGTATGTAATAAGGGTTCATGACATGAGAATTGAGCAATCATTAAAATATAATATGGTCTGATATGAAGAAAATGATATGAACATGTACCAGTGAGGTTAGTTTGGACAATGGATGGATATGTGACATAGGGCACTCCAAGCATGGGAAAGTGTGCCTAGTGCATGCAAGAATGCAGCACTTGGGGCGGCCGATGCGCAGGAAGGTAGTGTGTGCTTGGCGCGGGAGAGTTTTGCTTTGCATAGGGAATGATTGGAGAGGTATTGGCACAAGTTGTGCATCAAACTGTACTTTGAGATGGTCGCATATATAGTCTCTGCAAGGCCACAGAGATATCAGTCTCTACACCGGTAGCCCCCAGTTCCAACTCTTCACCTTACTATCTCACAGTTCTACAAAGTCTGTTGGTTCATGCTGATGGAATTGATGGTTAATCCGCTCATTAGAATATTGAATTTGAGAGAGAGGGATCCAAAGGTCCTCTGCACAAGGCGCTTGAACTTTGAAGGATTTAAATATTACAGATAGAAGATGTCCGAGGGGGGTGCTTTGTTTGATGCAACTCACAGGCTCCTCAAGAACCAGCTGATTCAGTTCTTGGATGGTTAGCTTATCTATCATCGGCACATCATGAATGAGAGGAATTTTGACAAAAGATGATAGTTAAATTCTGAGTGCTAATGTTGAGAAGTACTATTTTGACCCCAATTTTGATTTTGAGTTGGCATTGGAGGGCATTGCACACACTGATGAATGAGTATGATGACTGAGACATCAAAGGTTGGCATGGAATATGCCATGCAGATCTCTTATTGATTGAATGTGATGCACAAAGATTACCAATAACATATATTTAATTTCATAGAACATTGATGATACAGAGGATCTTGAAGCAAACCTAGTTATGGAACTCACCAGGGCTAGATGAGAGAAACTCCATGCCGAAAAGTCACTTGCCGATTGTGTGGTCCATGAACTCAAACTCATGTCGAGTTTATCAAAGTTCAAGTTGAGTCTTTCTGGGCAGAAACTTGACCAAGTGGATGTAGGATTGGGATACATGCAGATCATGTTCAAAACACATGGCCCACCTCACCATGCACACCATCTCCATGGTAAGTCTATGAACACGTTGAGTTTCATGGTGCAATACTAGTAACAATTTACAGGCTCTGTTGTTGAGGTATGGGATCATGATGGTCATAAAATCACTATTCAGTGAGATGATCTAATGGTCACAGAATTTCTGTAGTGTCTTTCAAAATTCAACAACACTAGTATTTTGTAAAATTGTACTGCATATTAAATTCAAGTTTGTTTGTTTTGCTACTTGCTAAATTGTGAAGCAGTTCTTAGTACAACTCAGTCTCATACTAGTAGTGTTTGGCTTATTGGCAATTAGTGATGTGTAGGGCTGGGCCTGAGGCCCTCAAGCCCTGAGGCCAGGCCCTCACCAGGCCAGGCCCATGGGCAGGCTTTCCAGGGTCTAGGGCCTGGCCTGATATTTGACAAGGCCCAAGCCTCAGGCCTGGGCCCTGGCTTGTCCTCGGTGGAAGGTCCAGCGGCAAATCTAAAATGGTAAAACTATACAGTTCTAAAGTTTCTCGATAAGGCAAGTACGTACCGTAACTTGATTAGCTCCACACCCACTTTGTAATGATGCCTGTCGTGGTGTCTGATGATGAGTCCGCATCAGTGCACATCGTGTCTCAACCACGCCGAACTGTCACACTGTCCTCACAGCTCACAGATGCCAACAATGATGCAACTCCGGAGCTTTCCATTCACAGGAACAAACCTCCTCCACCTGCCATCACTCAAAAGTCTGCACAATTGAGTAGCAAATGAGCAGCCAATTTTATAGGCAGTCTTTTGGCAGACAAATGTGTGCCTGATGAGGGTGTTATGAAGGACAGGCCCCATGAAAGTAAGCATCTTTTTCATCGTTCATCTCATGCTGATTACAGTCTTTGAATTTTGAAGGCAAACACTTGCAACATGCTGTCGCAAACACTCGTGCTGACACGTCTTTCGATGTGCTCACAGGTATGTGATATTTTTAAACTCAGTGTACAGGTATTTTATTTAACGCTACTACTTGCACTCTAATGTGCTTGACAGATGCTGAATCCACAGCACCTGTGGAAATGCATTTAGGTAAGTTTGAACCTTTGATGTTTCATCTGTTAATGCTCACACACTTTTGAAGGAACGCTCGATAGCGAAGGCTTCGAGTGTATCAATGACACCTGCACCACAGTCTCAGACACGAGCAACACAATGAGAGGTACGTCTAGTATTCACAACAAGTAATATAAATATACACTAATCTTGATTGTAAACTAGGACACGCTCAATCAGATGCCGTGGATGGCAATGGATTATTAGAAGATACTGATGTCCAAGACATCAGCCTGATCATGAAGGCATGCCGGGAGGATAAGACTATGGACATAAGTGCCTTCTTTGGAGCACCTTATGCTGCAAAGTTGAAGGACAGCAAGACTTGTAATGTCAGAGACTGTAAATCATGCCAGTAAGTGAACAATTGTATTCAATTCCCAACGACACTCATGGGATCACAGCAAGAAAGGCTTCCCACATCAAATTGTGAGCGACACATCGACGTGTCAATGCCATGTTGCATACAGACACTTGGTAAGTTATCTCTCATCCCTCGGCCCTTGACTTATGTGCTGTGGCACTGTAGGATGCATATTGTAAATGGCGCAAGGCTAACAAATTCAAATCTATGCTGACTCTAGATGTGAAGGAACAAAAAAATGCAGCCATGGTCACGAGTGCACAGCAGGGCAGTCTTGATCCTCATCTTCATGAGGTTCAACTAGGCAAACATGTTCTCCCATATTCTGACAAGCTTTTTCGTGAAGCCACAATCAAGTGGTTGACATCTACTAACCAGGTATGTATATTTAGTGTGATGTAACAAGACTCTGATATCCTTCTCAGCCAATTCAAGCAGTTGATCATCTGAGCTTTAAGAAAATGATTGACACTGCTTCGTGGGCCACAATGGGTGTCCTCATACCAAATCGAAAGGCAACATGATGAAGGTACAACAATTCAGATGGTGAGTCTGAACAATGTTGGGTCTTGCAGAACCTAGCTGCTATTCGACCCTAAAGGGTTTCTGGACCAGGCTCAAGGCTCAGAGGAGAGGAAATATCATGAAAACTTGCTGAGTACTCTGACTCATACTGGTAACTGGTGAAAAGATAACTTTCTTATGTAAGCTACAAAAGTGCCAACATAAGGTAAGGTAAAAACAGTCTCTATAAGCCCAGCCAGAAATGAATCCCTACAATGATCTGAAATTATTTTGATCTTCAAGCAGCAGATGACGAGATTAAAGGAACGATGTAGGAATACAACACAGAGTGGGGCTATACAAAGATTGCTCCAAACTGATATCTTTATGTTGTGGTATTGCACTGCCTAGTCTGCTATACTTGGTGAGACAAGTGCATTCGACCCAGGGGTCTGCGGTCTGAGAATTGTTTTGGGGGTCAGTGAGTGATGTGGGGTCAATAGTCTGAGCGCAGGAAACAATGTCTTGAAGTCCGATGCAAAAGCATTGGGTCCAATGTTTTCAGGTTTCAGGTTCGTCAGGTTTGGGTTTGGGTTATTGGAAACTAATAGTGACGCTGTAGAAACAACAATACTGCAAGGCATGAATAAGGCTCCTGACTGTATCTGTAAATGTTGTAAGGTCGCATGTTGCCTAGTCTGCTATACTTGAGACAACAAGTGTGTTTGACCCTAAAGGGGAAGCAAGTGCAGCAAGGATCTAGTGATATGCACTGAAGGCGCTACTGTTCAGCCAATGCAAAGCGTGAGAAAGTGCAGGTGTGCGCAAGGCACGAAGGCGCTGGAATGCGCACGCGTGCTGCACAAAGCGGGGAAAAGTGCGCGTGTGTATGCGGAGATGAGTAAGAGTAAGAGTGAGTTTGCTCAAGTGATGATATGATGTAAGACAAGAGAAGAGAGATGCGAAGTGTAGACGAATAGATTTCTACTATGTTCTGCTAAGTAGTAAGTGGGTAGTAACTAGTAAGTAAAAAGTGGGTTCCAGTAAGGTAAGGTGCCATGAAAAGTCAGTAGTAGTCTGTACTGCTGGCGCTTAAGTATGGCGCCTAAGTGCTGTCATGCGGAGCCGAAGCGCTTCCAAGTAAGGTATGTAAAGATATCTATAAGTAAGGGTCCATGATAAAAATAAAGGTGGAATGATATGCAAATGAGAGAGATGGAAATATACTCACTAGAGAACTTGGTGGACAGTGGATGGATGTGTTTGGATGGCTGGCGCTATAGGGTGCTCAAGCGCAGGAAAGCACGCGCGCGCATATACATTGTGAAGCATGGGAAGTGTGCGCACATGGCGCACATTGTGTGGGAAAGCTGCGCCTCATATAGAGATAGCTGTGGACAGCACACAGAGTGGTGCTGCAAGTGTGTGCAATGAACTCCCTAGTGAAAAGTGCCATATCACACTGTCATATCCCATATATTCACGCTTCTCTTCCGGACTTCGGACCCTGAGATCCGATTCGGTCCGATGTATAGATCTGCTTCTGATCCAATTTACGATAAGCTTTCTAATTCATTTCCTGTTCATATAACGTTAAACACAGCCTATTCGGTATTTCCTCTTCCCGGTGTTTCGGTTATACTTATTACCGGTATGCTTACTGATCCGTTAACCTATGTCTCATTTCCGACTTGCGTTTGATAACCTTTGCACATGCTTCGTACATAGCCTCAGACCTTTGCTTACTGATACTTCCGTTATCCTCATAGTATATAAACTCGTGTATATGTCCTGTAGTACCTCAGTTCGAATATCATCTTAGTTTGTCCTCTTTCTGTCCTCCGGACTTGAGTCCTTCTTACTCTTGTCACCCTCCGAGACTTCGGATAGATTCCGATAGTCTATATACTCGGCTCTACCTTCAGGTAGTCTTTACTCTGTTAGTTTCTAGTTCGGATATGTCCGGATTAGCCTTATACGCATTTCCGATATCCGGAAGACATCCGGATATACTACAAGACCCGTCCGGACCTTCGGACGCGTTATCGTTAGTACTTTGAAATAAGGGACAGTACTTGGGAAAGGGGCACAGTGTACAAGCTGAGGCCGAAGTCCTTCGGATCTGACCCTACGAGAGTACGACCTTAACAATTACTTAGTATATATATGCGCGTCTAAACTGTATAATGATTATCTTTCTGCCCACACATCGTTGGACTTGAAGTCTAAAGTTTCCTCTCATAAATCTAAAGTATCTAAGTACAATACGAGCACTGCCGCCGTACATTACTAGAAACTCTGCCAAATTAGTTTTCTGACTCATTAAGAGTCGCTGCGCTCCACCACCCGCACGTGTGCACCGCTCCCGCTCAGCATGTGCTTCTGTTATAAGTCGCACATTGTCGCTTGTTGTCAGCCATCGTCGCTCATCAGCACTTCACGTCGCTTTCACTCATCAGCGCTTCACATCACTTTCACTCGCTAGTGCTTCGCTCATCATCACGCACCTTACCAGGCTTGACCAAACACCCAGTCCAGTGTTTCCCTCCATTTATACACTTAGAGGAACCTTCTCAGTAGCAATCCCCTTGGGCCGACATATATCTCGCTCATCGAGGACTACTTGAGTATATCTCACACCACTCATATTACCCCACCTCCCATTCCTCTTCTACAGCACAATATCTGATAGTCCAATGCGAAACCCAATGCGATGTCCGATAATCTGATGTTTGATGTCCAATGATTTTCGGGTTTGGTACATATTGAGTCGGATAGGATAGGAATGATTTGGGTAATGATTAGCATGTCAACATGCATCAGAAAATAGACCTCTACAAGGCCACAGAGATGTCAGTCTCTACAATGACTTAATGTAAGTTTGAAATGGCTTTACTCTCACTTGTTTCTGATGCCTTCGAGCAGAGTAAGGCCACAGCAGGTGCTGTTAATCTAACATGCGATGCTTGGCAGGCAGCAAATGTCGAGGCATACTTTGCCATCACTGGCCACTGGATCAAAGAACTGTCTGTTGGGGTTTTGGAAATTCAGAGCGCTGTGATCAGGTTCATGCTCCTCAATAATGCACACAATGGGACACGACTTGGCCAGGCACTGTTCAAAATTGTTGATTGAGTGGGAATTTCCCACAAGGTTTGTCATCTCGTATCGTACATAGTATGACTGCCAGTTGTTTACATGATAATAGATCGGTTATATCACATGCAACAATGCTTCAAACAACAATACCATGCTTGATGAGTTTGCACTTCGAATTGAGGCTCATAGCGGCAAGATTTTTGCATTGAAGAAACATTGTATCAGGTACGCTGTTCTTTGTACATCTTAGGCAGTAATTTAGCTCTTCACAGGTGTCTTGCACATGCGATACATCTTGCCACTTGTGCTCTAATCTTGACATCTAGCAAAGCTGCCTATTATGATCCTGCGCACACTGAACTTGCCATTCATACAGAAAATGGCTGTTGGGATGAGGTAGGCCTTGTTTGTGCAATTACTGTCAAGGTAATATACTATCTGTTATCTATGTGAGGATGGCCACTGACAGCTTCCTAGGAGCGCTCATCTGCTTCTCGAAAGCAACTTTTCAAAGATATTCAGACTCGTAACAAGGGTGTCACCCCAGTCCAGCTTCTTCTCGATATGCCTATTCATTGGTCATCTACCTATGTGATGCTTGATCAAGCTGAGAAGAAAAAGCAGATAAGTACTTATTTCCACTGTGTGTTTTGAGTTAGTACTGAAGGATTAAAGTTTGTTGACACCTTTGTTTATGAACTCGGCAAGAAGGAGACCAACCTTACAAAGCAGGCGAAGATTGATGCACTCAAGCTTGAGTCTGATGAATGGGATCGTGTTAAATTATTCGTAAACTTACTTGCAGTTTATCTTTTCATTATGATTGATGTTCATCACTGATTGTCCTGACCAGCATGCTGATAATCCCAACAAGCTGTCGGAAATTTCCTATTCGGGATGCATGACCTTGCAATGGGTTGCAAGGATCCAATGACGAGCCTAGGTTCCAACATGTTACAATAAAAGAGCATTATGTTACAATCATGTCACAAGCTGGTTGCAAGCGTGCCTTTCAACGAAAGTTTCAACCCAATTAGTAATATTAACCGTCGGCTGCAAGTCGGTTTCATTGTAGGTTGCTATTGAGATCCCAAGGCTTCCTAACTTTGTCTCAATAAATATTGTTCAGTTTGAAGTCAATTCGAACATCATTGAAACCAACAAATTGAGATTACAATGAGCACTAATCTGACTGCATAATACTACTGTAATACACTGCAACAGTAGTTCTAGTTCCTTCTCTGAGTTCGTGTTTCTCGCTGCTCTGCTGACAATGATATAGCCGCTAGCCCACCCCTCTTTCCCCTTCCACGGCCCCATCGACCGGAGGATGAAGCTGCTGGTGGCAGCATTTCCACACTGTCAGGTACATCAGGAACTGGAGGGGTTACAGTGGCAGTAGTCTTGACAGCAGGGGTGATGGCTGGTGCTAGTGCAGTGAGGGGAAAGGCAGGTGGTGCAGCCAGAGCAAGTGTCGGTGAACTGGGGGGAACCGGAGAGACACGGTGACCATCAGTAGTCGGAGAGTCTGATTCTCGATCTTCGCGCCCTGCATTGGTGAGGGCCAAGTGCATTAGATCGGATGTCAAATCCTCGCCTTCAGCATCTGAAGTCGCGATATTGGAAGATGATGTTGACTGCCAGACATGGTGATCGATTTGTCGGCGGATCGACAGAATGTGTGGCTCTTCCCAAAGCGTCACCCACAATTGTTTGTAGGCTGCGAACATTGCCGCATACGGTAGACAAGACTTCGTGCCAACTCCGTCTTTGGTGAACGAAGTGTCGGGGGACAGAATGAAGATTAACTAAAGAAATGTTAGATACTGTGAATTGATTGTAGCGAAGGCTTAAAGAACTCACTGTGACCCAACCCCAGGCAAGAAGACCAGGGGTGCATGAGGTGATGCCCCATTTTCGAGTGTTGCACTTGGCACGAGGCCATCCAGCAATATCTAGCAAATTTTTCCCAAACATTACGATCCTGATTGCCTAGGTGAATTGGACCAGACAGCATAAGAATAGATTCAGACAGTGATAAATAAAACAAGTACCTTTGAGAGTGGCTCCCAATTTCCAAAAACCGTGGACATTGTAGGGTCCCTTTCCTGCCTCGTAAAAAGGATGGGTGGGAACTTCAACAATGTTGAACGATTACCTGGACCAGTACCAAGCATCTTCTGGATTTCAGGGATTGTGTCCCGGTTTGTAAAACCAATGTCGAAGTACGACGGATCGAGACTGAATATTCGACCTGCCATCACCCTTAACTTGCCGATTTCGCTCGAGCGACCGCCTTGAAGTTGTTGTTCTAGCTGCAGTACATAATAATAATCATTGTTAGGTCACACAATATAATAGACTGACGTACCAACAATTGAAAATGCGAAGTCGGTACAAACCGATGGAGATGGTCTGGAAGAAGTGAGTATAGCTCAGTCACAAGACCAAGCTCTTCAGCACTTTTGCTGGCATAGCGACTCCTGGATATGATTGCAGGTGGAGGGTTCGGCACAGGGAGTTTGAGGATACGATGCTCAGGTGGGAACATCTCCGCAACAATTCCGTACTTGCAGGAAAAGGTCGAGAGCTTGACATTGAAAACTTTCAGCTCATCTGGGACTTGAGCACTTGAACGCCGGCATTGATTAGACGACAAAGTCTTGTTCTTCTCACCCAGAGTATGGTTATTGTTCTTGAGTGCCTGGTTTTCCAACTGCAAGTGCTGAACGATCTTAAGACATGAGAATCAGTATATTGAATAGTTGCAAGCATTACATGACTACAATACCTCAACGTCCCCATGCGACTGTTGCCTGCGGCTGTTGGAGACTGTTTCAGATGACTGACGACTAGCAGTTGATGAGATCCCCGCTGTAAGAGATGGAGACTCCAAATCATCGAAGTCCGATTCAGACGCATCAGATTGAATGACGTGACGGGGAGCCTGCTGGGGCATAATGTCAATGAGAGAGATACCTGCAGTGGGTTGAATTTCAGACTCAGTGGTCATAAAAAATATGATGGGGCAGACAACTTATAGGTGTGGCAGTCGATGGGCAATGTTGGAACAAAAGGAACACATGGTCGTACATGAGGTAGCTTGGTGTTACAGTATAGCACCGATAATCAAACAAATTAGCCTCGTGGCTTGATGGGAGGCAGAGAAAACGATGCAACTTACCTGTAGACACGGCGACATGAGTCATAATCATCTGATGTCATTGACAATGCAGCACTCAGCATGTGGTATAGTGCATGTGGAGAGCTGTAATTAAGTGCAATGACACATCTAGAAGTCCTTTTCCAATGAGTTAGGTTCGATCACGTGACTGACATTCACCTTTGAGTAGTCCGACACATGCTTTTCGAAGAGGGTTCTGCAGCACCCAGATCCCATACATCAAATTGCCGATGCACGACTCACAACCCTCCTCATGCCTATCCTCATTGTCTAGTTGCTCTGTCATGACCACCTACCCCACTTACATTGGTAGCTACTATGCTTTGTAATTTGTTATGTCAATACTAGTATAGCAGTTTCATAGCCTGCTTGTCTCATCCAGGACATCTCAGAACACTAATGTCTTCGCGCATCGGAAAACCTGTGGAGATCTCACCAAACATAAGTAACTGATTGAATAAAATAACATAACCAGTAACGGAAACGGTTGGAGGCTATGAGAGGGTCACTATACTAACAATATTAATGATGGGAGAAGCTTGGTATAATGTGCTAGGGCTCTCCGGGCTCTCAATGAGGCCACTAAGGCTGGCAGGGCTACCCTCTTAAGTGATGATAACAGATGAGTCCGTGAGGTGGTTCGTGAGGGTACCGTTGTGCCTCTTGAGGCTAGGGGAGGGATACTGACGAGGTGCGCAAACAGATGCAGGGTGAGTGGGTTGCCCCTCATGGAGGTGTGCGAGAGGGTTGCATAAACATGTTAGGGAATTTTGTGAGAACCTCCCTGGGGAGGGTGGTCTCAGAGACCAGTTGCACTCTACAAGGAAACCAGGTCTAACAGACCGTGAGAAGCTCTAAAAAGTGCTGCCAAGGGTGGGTTTTAAGAGAGAGAGATCCATGAGCTAGTCTTCGAGGCCAACATTAGATGAACAGATTCAAGGTTGTTCCGTCTTCATATGTACATCAGTGAACCGGTGAACAAATTAAAATGTAATAATTAGCTATACATATTTAACAATCACAGAAATCTCCGTAAATCTGGTGGGGGGTCACCTTGTAATGTATGGCTTTATGAGGGCAGGAAGAACTTAAGTCAACTGGCCAAGGTGTCCTACCCTCGATGCACCATTTTATGTATAAATTAGTCTGCACATCAGCAAACTACAAATTCTTCCCATAGACAATGTTATTTTACACAGTTTCACACAGAGCTCACAGCGCGGCCAGACACCACAATGAACATACATGCACAGACACATACTTTGTACAGTAGCTCACAGTGCAGACAGATGCCATAATGGACATGCATGCATAGACACATACTTCACACAATAGCTCACAGCAGATAAGACACTACAATAGATATACATGTAGTACATACACATAATTATACCACATGCAATTGCCAATAGTGATGTGCCGGGCCTGGCTTGGCCTGAAAGCCTGGGCTTGGGCCTGGCTTTAGAGGGCTTGGGCTTCGTCAAAACCCAGGCCAGGGCCTTTGAGATCAAAATGTGCACAATGATATATTTTACTATTAAAGTCAATTGTACATTTAAATATCAATATCAGAGTCCTCTGACTGCAAGGTACTACTGCCCTTGTCACCACCCTCACAAAACTCAGCCTCCAACTCAACTTCTAGGACAGAGGTGAGAGCAGGCTCATGAAAAACCAAATCCTGCTGATACATGAAGCGAATGACTTGAAGTGCCTCCACCACATCAGCCTTCAAGTGATTACAACATTTCATAATGGTCATCCCAGCAGCTGAAGAAGCACGTTCACTAGACACTGAAGAAGCCATGATACAGAGATAGTCATGAGCTAATGAGGCCCAGACAGGATAGCATTGAGCATTAATCTACAAATCCAGGTCAATAAGTTATCATATCTAATGGTTTGGTACATACCCCCTGCCACTGGATGATGGACATCTCTTTAGGCACAGTTTCGATCATGTTCACATAGAGGTTAAATTCCCTCATCCATGCCTCCTTTGGATCAATAGGTACATCAGCCTCGATCTCACTGCCACTGTCCTCATCACTCGATAACTCGTGAAGGACACTGGCCCATTTCGCTGACCCCCTCCTCTGGGTGATGAAGGAGCATTATTCTCACCATATATCTGGATATACCTTTCCTTAAACTCCGAGTAACATGTCAGAGTAGAAAAAAATAAGATGAAATGAACTTACAATTTTGTTTGTCACTTCGAGAACCTCCTTGTGCAAATTCTTGCCCCAGAATCACTTGAAATGGCTATCTTTGTGATTGGGATCAAGTACTTCACACGGGTGAGCAGAAAAGCAAAGACAATGACATAAGAAATTAACGTACACATGCTAATAATATAGGCATCACATTCTGCAGACTTCTCATAGTACTCTTGGATCTTGTCAGTAGCAGCTGTTAATGCAGCATGAAAGGGAGCATATTTTGGGCTATTCGAGCGAGAGGTCCAGGCCTTATGAAGACCCTTGAGAGCAGGAAGGGCAAAATGAAGGGCAGGTCCAGTATCAGACGAGAAGGCTGTCAGAAATTTCCTAAGTCGGTTGCAATAGGGTACCTTTGAGTCTCGGTACCAACTGTATTGATACCGATTGAGATTTTGTACTGATGTTCCATTATTGATACTCAATAGGAATATTTCTACTGAAGTTGCGATATGATAGCGAAAGTTGGATTATTCAAGGTGAGTCACATTATTGATATCAGGTCACAACCTCGTTGACACTGAATACATCTTCTGCAGCGTGCACTGCCAGTCTGCGGCACTGTCCGATCCAGTCAACACTTCCTCCCTCTATCAACTGCGCCCCCCAATTGTTTTTCTACATCTTACTGGTATGTCAGTATCATCTTGAAGTCTGAATCTAACACTGATGCATCAGTATTATGACAGAACACCACAACTTTCATCATCATATGCCTCCAGATCAGTATCACCTGTGTTCAATTTGTGGTGCATCCTACCATCGACAAGGTCTCCGGATGCACGAAAACGCATGCTGAAAGCGATCTGAACAGAGGAGAGAGGATGTTGAACTTGCTAGAGAGATTCACCAAGGTACGACATAATATCAATCTGTCAATTGATGTTGCGTCTGAATCAATTCAAATCAATTCATAGAGAGAGAACATAATGCGCAAATAGGGGCGGACCCGTGTTTGTTGGCGACCAACCATCCGGCTCAGCTCTTCGTACGTTTTCACTAATATCTAGCTCACAGCCTTGAATTGATTGCCATTCGTGACTTGTTTTGGGCTTCTCATTCAAGCCGCTGCCTATCATCATTCACAGGACAATGATGCCTTCGATATCGATGGTCAAATAGACTATCCTAATGATCCTGACATCGGACAGATGAATAGTACATTTATTCTCTCCACCTTCCCCATCCATTCAGCTCACAATGTTCCTTTCAGGTTCTCCACCACCTGAATCTAGAACGGCATCACCTTGACCCCAGTTTGAGGAGGATGACATCCAAGTGCAGTATCATCCCAGTAGTCAGTGCCCAACGCAGGTTTTTCAGTTTGAGGATTATGGACGTGGTCTTGGCGCCCCCACAGTAGTTCCACCGGTTGAACCTGAGCCATGGTACCCATTCCAAACTCGGATCAACTTCGAAGTTGTGGAGCTTGTTCTCGAAGCAGCACTCACTCACCAGCAGACGGACTGGCTTTTTGACCTCATTCGTCGCACCAAGTCTGAACAGTTCACGCTTCGGAATCGCAAAGATGTACGAGATACATGGGACGCAGCTTCGTTTAAATTGACACCTGTCTGTATTCAATTTCTCTAAGTGTAAACTAATCTAAGGCTTTTGCGATAACAGTTTGTAAAGGAAGAGGTAGTTGTGCCATTTCAAGGTGATGATAAGACATTTCAACTATTCCATCGCTCGATATGGGACTGGGCTGTGGATCTCCTTCAGGATCCCCAAGTTGGTCCACATTTTGTCTTTGATGCTGAACGGCTTTCAAAGTTTAACAGTGACAAGTTCGTTTGGTTCATTCACGAGCCTTGGACAGCCAATGCATTCTGGGAGTATCAAGTACGCGACACTATTGTTTTATGGGTCTGCGCCATGTATTAATGTAGCATTGTTATAGTCACAAATACCATCAGATGCCAAGCCTCTCGCCTTCATTCTTTACACAGATAAAGCCAAATTGTTGTCGTTTGGTCGGGTGAAAGGTTATCCTGTCGTTGCTCGGTGTGCTAACCTTCCTGTTGCCATTCGTAATGGAGAAGGCTTGGGTGGTGGATGTGTAGTGGGATGGCTACCAATTGTTAATTCTGTCCTTCACTCAATGACTGAATATTATCAACTAACAGTACTTTGACAGGTGAAGGAGGACAAGAAGCACTCCGGAAAGCCGGTATATGTCAACTTCAAAAATGCAGTATGGCATCAATCATTTCTGAAGATCCTTGCCTGCCTCGCACTGCTGTCGAAGTTTGGATCTGCCATTAAATGCTGGGATGACATCATTCGTATCTTCTATCTGATCATACTCATACTCTCTGCAGACTATGAAGAACAGTTTGTGTCAATATTAATGCTCCCTCGGTAACGTCTTTGACACTCCTACAGGTCTGTGATGGCATTGATTCATGGTCTGATGGGAAAATTCCCTTGCCCTATATGTTTTGTGCCTCGTGACGAGCTTTCTAAGACATCTAATATTTATCCTCTTCGCACATCTGCAGGTGCAAAGGCATTACGTGTTCAGGCCCGAGAGTCTGCAACCTTGGAAGCATGAGAACAAATACTGAGCTCCGAGAGCCTTCATGATGTTGATGTAAGTTTTTTTTTTGTTTCTGACTCTATTAATGTGTAAATTGTCGTACTTAGAATTCATTTGATACCATGGAGAATACTGATGTTCATCGGGCTCTCTCACATGACAAACTCCACTTTAACGATGGCGGCCTTTTCAGTGATCACCTGTGGGCTGAACTGCAAAAGTGGATCGAAAGTTCAGGTCGACAAGCTGCTGTGCAGATTGATAGTTCATGCGTAGGTTTGTCTATATTTTACAGATGCTAATTTAGATTTCCAGCTTTCACTCATTTCCACACTGGCGAAATCTCAATCATTTCGACCAGGTGACATCAATATCTTTTTCTGATGGAATGAAGTATGAAGATATATCAAAAGAAAGTTACTCTAGTAGTAGACTATTCACCATTAACTTAATTAAACAAATGTAGCTTATTGTCTTTGCAGCTCATAATGTATTTCATCAAGATCAGGATTCAGAGGCTTATCTTCTGCTCCGTTGTATTCGTAGCTATGTGGAATTCAACACATATGCTTCATTAGACATCCATACTGAAGACACTATCAAAGATGGCCGAAAAGCTCTTGAAAATTTGACTCAATTGATGGATGTATGTTCTTCGTATATTATATTCTCAACCAGCAACGCATTGATTCAACTAATATTGCGAGTCAGAAATACATCGAAGACACGTTAGACTTAATTGACAAGTTGTGGAATTTCCCGAAGAAACATCTTTCTGCGCATCTCTTTGACGATATTGAGGCAAAAGGTGTCACCCAAAACTATAACACGAAACTGAATAAAAAAATGCATGGCCCACTGAAGGATGCTTATCAGGATCATACAAACTTCAAGAACTTCGCTGAGCAGGTAAGCATTACTATTACAACAGTGTATATTAAGTGCTGATGGAATTTGAAGATTCTCCGATATAGCCATGACAGCCTTATCGCAGAATACATTCACAGCAAGTTGAGCTGTCTCAATGCGCAAAAACTCAGCCTACTCGACGCGTCAGATCTGCCCGAGATTGATTCAGAGACTGAACTGATGACAGATGGGCTACATTTCAGTCTTGGCTCACCACAGGCAATGCAGTCATTTGCAGATGTCGAAGCCAGTAAGACAGGCAATCCGGCCTTCATTCAATTTCGGATCAAGCTGAACGAATTTTTGAACCATGCATTCAATGCCAACAATATACCATTTCCCAATGGGAGACGAATCCAACTCGCTGCTGATGACACGGTGTGTCAACATTGCAAAGCACATTATTAGTAACTTATCAGAATCATTCACAAATCACTGAGTACCAATTTCTTAAAGTCAACTATGAATCACTCGTTGACTGGCGTGTATCTGCTGACTATCTACGATGCAGTCCAATGTTTCACGGATTGCCTCGATATGATTTCGTCATCCTGCAGACAGAAGTTAGCGTCATCTTCGCACAATTATTGATGGTCTTCACCTGCATGGTCGGAGATGTCCAATACCCTATCATGCTCACTCTCCCATATGATCAACCTGTTGGTGCTCATCCACGGAAGGACAAAGATCTTGACTTCTGGCGAGTTAAGGCAAAGCCTCAATGAGGGATGACAAGTGAGAATGAGCAAGGACAAGGCATATCAAAGACAAGATCACGCACTAGCTGAGAGCAGGACACAGCCACAGCACCATTGGCATAAGGTGAGCAGTTCAAAGAGAGACTCGAGAGCGATGGTTATGGGCTCACATCACAATACACTTTGACCTTGGGACTTGAAAACAGGTGTTGTGTTGAAGAAGATGGTTGGGCATCACAATAAGGTGGAGAGACTGGTGGTATCATGAGATGGTCAAATAATAGCAAGTGGTGTAAATAAAATTTTAAAAACGCACCAGATTAAGTCCATTGCAGGGAGGCATGAAAGTTTGACAATACTGTCTGTTAGAAGATGGAGGAGTAAGCAATGACAGGAAGACAGGATTCATATGCACTGACTGCTACGATGGCTCACACAAAGACTCAGAAGGAGAATGCAGTTCTGCTGCCAGCGCCGCCCGCTTGTACACAAAGTCATGTGATGTGACATAGGTCGACCGGTTCAAACGTTCACTGGCAGTAGTAGCCAATCAAATGATGAATAAAACTTGTACTGAAACATAAAACATTGATTGTGGACTGAATATTGATGATAGCAGCACTTTGAGTGGTCAAAAATAGCAGTACAGTCAGCCTTGCATATTGCAAGACACCATAAAGTACTCTTGTGAGGGAAATGACTCGGAATATGACACTATTTGTGCAAACTGTGAGTTATTGCAACAGCCGCCACAGCCCACCAATAGTACTAGTAACTACATAAGCTATAGCACCAGCTAAAGTGGCAACACCCGCTACCTGTTTCGGCTTTTTTTTTCCCTACTATTATTGCTACATTGCATGAAGAGACATTTTGTTTCAATCCTGTCCGACTCCGCCTTACTAATCACATCACGTGCTAATCTATGCTGTTGATTATGAGACTTAGCAAAATATCACTGTCTATCACTACTGCACGAACGGGCCGCAAGGAATATGAACCTAAACTGTGCAGAGCACAAGCCTGCTCAAGCAATGCAACTTCTGATGACAAGGGACCCAAACGGACCCCCGAACGACACAATGCAAAAAATATATCATGCACGATAGACTTTGAACGTCTGCAAGACGATAAAACTGCCCCTGCGAGGAACAAAGACTGAGATAATTCCGTGGAGTCACTGACAGCAGATTCTGGCAAATGGCTTGCATCACCACCAAATATACATGAAGTTGCTAGAAACACAAAACAACATCAGACAGATAGCAAGGATTCAACCCCAGTAGAATCTACCTATGGCCAAAACGGTCAGGATAGCGTAATATATGTTGTGACCATGTAACATTATGTTACAATCACGTAGAATCTGGAAGGACCACATGTCGGCGCATTACATTAGATCACATTGACAAAACATCGTTAATGCTATTGTTTTACCATCGTCTCATGTGCATTTCACAAGGATCGCATCGGTTACATCTCATTGTCATAAATATTTTCATTCGCAGCACACACACAGTCTCGCAGTGCACACACAGCCTTGCGACGTACTACTCATCCCAAATACGAGCTAGTTCTGCCCTCCTTGTGCAGTGACTCCTTTTGTTGTAGCTGGGGGTACACTCTAGCGTGTTTCTGGCTGATCCTAACATTGTAAGTACTTTCTGTCTCGTATCTACTAACTTGTATAATTTATGATGTGCATTAAGATACACACTTATGCTGGGCTACACTTGTGTCTGCAGGAGACATAATGGCAGTCGTCCTCACGCTGCTTCCCGTGCGGAATGGTATAAACACCTATGAGCGGCTGAAACTGAAGAGGAAAGGGTGACTATCTGTGCTGGAAATGTCTCCATTGACTTGCAGGCACAAATACAAGCCCACGTTGATGCACAGACTGCGTCAACTTCAAGTTCTGTACTTCCAGGCAACTCCCCCAGTGTGGATGTCTCTTCGACTCGGACAAAATGACCTGGTGATTTTGAGGGGCATAGAGCGCAGTTGAAACGTCCATGTGCAGATTCCTTGAACATGCTGTCATTATCGGATATGGACTGGCAGAGCCCACTGGCAGATGAAGCAGACACCTCTGGAGCTGCGCATGACATGGATTTTGATCCACGCAACCTAGTTGAAGAAAATGCTGATGGAGCTGTGAGTGATCATCCGCACAACCTAGATGAAGAATGCACTAATGGAGCTATGGATTTTGAGCAGCGCAACCTAGATGAAGAAGACACCGAGGGAGCTATGGGTGATATGGATTTCGCAGGGGAGGGTAACAAACAGCATGGGGTGCAGAATGATGGGCCGCATCAGGAACATGATGAACCGCAGGGTCATGGTGTTGCACTGGGTACTCAGATGGAACGTACACCTGTTGATCTCGACCAACTCGCATACTTAGCGGTTCTACCTGACATGCAAACATCTATGGACTTCATCTTAGCCCTCCGATCAGCCTCATTGGATGACCCCATAGCAAAACTTGACGAGGACGCAAAAAAAAACCTGCGGGAGCCTCTTCGCGAACTTCCAAATGTCGTAGATCCCATTGTCCGTCATGGAATCACAATGTATTATGCTCTCGAACACTCTTCCCGAAATGCTTATGAACGTATCTGTGCTTCCATGCAACGCACTTACCCTGATGCAGAGGCTATGCCAAGCTTCCGTCGTACTGAACGCATCATTGCTGAGTACACTGGCATTAAGTCTATTACTCATGACATGTGTCCTGATACATGTATTGCATTCACCGGCCCTTTCACAGACCTCGATCAGTGTCCTATATGCCATAAGACGTGATACGACCAGATCAAACTCCAAGCCAGTGGCGGTCGCAACAAGGTTGCCCGTAAATTTCACACAATTCCCATCGGACCACAGATTCAGGCTTTGTGGCGTGATCTGGAGAGCGCAAAGCAAATGCGCTACCGACACAAACGCACAGAAAGGCTTATCAAGGAAATTCGTGAGGCAGGGGGGGCTATCAACTCGTATGATGACTTCATTATGGGCAGCGACTATCTTCATGCTATTGTTAATGGCGATATCTCCGAAAATGATGTGGTCTTGATGATCTCAATGGATGGGGTGCAGCTCTATGAGAGCAAGGTCTCAGATTGTTGGATCGAACGAGTATGCTGCAAACCTGCATCGCCTTGTGTCCTCACCCAACCAGCGGCAATATGGGATCCGAAAGACAGAGACTGGTATCACAAAACCTAGTCTTCTTCTTGGACTCCACCCTTCTCATATACTCACGGTGCCCGTCTGCTTCTCAACCGACATTATGCATCTTGCAGGTCTCTTAAGTGACTTGCTGCTTGCACTCTGGCGAGGAATGATGGACTGCGCAGGTACGGACAATGTTGCATCATGGGACTGGGCAGTCCTCAGTGACGAAAATGTCTGGGAGGCACATGGCACAGCTGTTGCAGCTGCAGGTCAGCATCTTCCAGCATCTTTCGACCGAAAGCCACGCAATATTGCCGAAAAGATGAACACAGGCTACAAGACCTGGGAATTCCAGCTGTATCTTTTTGCTCTTGGTCCTGCGTTACTGTATGACATTCTCCCTGAGCCATATTGGCGCAACTACTGCAAGTTAGTGCGGGGATTCTGCATCATATGCCAGCATAGCATCAGTTTCACAGAAATGTGAGTCGCTCATGACGCTCTGGTGGAGTGGGAGTTTGAGTTTGAGACTTTGTATTATCAGCGTCGTGAAGATCGCATTCATTTTATCCGACCATGCGCTCATCAAGTCAACCACCTCATAGCTGAAGCTGTACAGAAGGGGCCACCAGTGGGCTATGCCCAGTGGACAATGGAGCGGGCCATCGGAAATTTGGGTCAGGAGATCCGGAAGCCATCTGACCCTTATGAGAACCTGTCTAGAGAAGGTATTCATCGCTCACAAGTTAAAGCATTCAAGGCAATGCTTCCTGAACTCGATGAACCACCCAAAAGGCTCCCTGCTGGTGCAGTTAACCTTGGAGATGGTTATGCACTTCTTCGTAAATGAGACCCATACCCTCCCCCACAGCTATACAGATGGGCTCGTCTCCAGCTTCCTAATGGTCAGATTGCTCGTTCACATTGGCAAGAGTCTCTGAAACCTCCACATCAGCTACAAGTCTCTCGGAATGTTAAGGTGATTTTTTATCTATTTTATTTTATTTAACTCTGACACTACAGTTTTAGTTTACTCTCGATGATGTAACACAATTTGGCGAAGTTCGCTACTTTACACAACTCGCAGTCGAAGCCCATGGAGAAGTTGAATGAATGTTTATTAATGTCGCAGTCATTGCACTTTATTCCCTCTCCGACAAGGACCTTCTGGAGCTGTCATCTCATACTGTTGCCTCGTGCACTTATGAACAAGATGACATTCGTGTCATTAACATGAAGACCATTACCGAAGTCATCGTGATGGTACCACATTGTCCTCGTTTACCATCTGGAGTCCAGGAGAACCGATACTTCATGGCTGAGAAACCTGGGCTTGATATTGCAACATTTGGCATTCCAGGTGATCCAAGGGACGTAGAGGATGAAGAAGACGATAATCACAATGATAATACCGTGTAAGCAGCTTGACCAACAGGCTTTGTCTCTTATTCATGCACCAAACCAGACCAATAGTATGATCCTCAGTTTAATTTTGTTGTTCGCACCTCCATTCTCTCCACTGCTTCTTTGGTGCAGCTGTTCACTCGGAATGCAGTAACAATTTTTGGGTACCATTCAACAGGCGTGACAATGATACAGGTGATACTAGTAGCAGCTATTGTACAATATTTCGTTTGGAATGGAACAGAATGTGAACAAGCTGCAAAGAGGACTTGGAAAAGACTTGAAGAAAATTCATGACTAAGCTTAAGACGTCAAAATACCCAAACCCCTACTAAGTGACTGCCCCTCTAGTCCTTCTCTATATTCATCATGTCATTTTATACCCCACAAATTCCCCAATACCGTTCTGCCGATAATTCCAGTCCTTCATTAAACATGCCTTCACCACTTCCTTCAGGTTCTTACCAATTTCTATCCTCAGCTGGTCTGGATTTTTCTCCAGGACAATCAGAGTCGAACAATACTAGTAGCTCTGCTCTTTTTCAGGTGAGTCATGATTAGCACATGAAAATATGATTTGACAACACTGATTTGAACTTTAGAATGGATATATGCATGGCCTGGGCCACTGGCAGTAACTCTCGCATTGTTGCCTTGCAAAATCAGGTGAACCAGTTGCAAATCGAGCTTGTTCAAGCAAAAACTGCATTTTCGACGTTGGAGTAAGTTACATTTCCTATTTCATTGAATTACATTGGTACTACAGGTATTTAACTTGCAGGTCTGCATTCAATGAGCTTGCACGCAATGTGCAGCTCATCAATGCAAATCCTGCTATCACTGGCACTACTGTTTGTATATCCGAGTCCCCAGCATCATCGACCATCCAGATACTGCCTCTCGTCAGCAAGGACAATTATCCGGATATTAGGTTCTGGACTCGTGCAGAATGGGAAGAATGGCATACAACACCAGAAGAACTCAGACAGAAGGTAAAACGTGGACCTGCACCTTACCTGGAACACGAGGATGGTCAGGCAGTCACCGAGGAGTTACTTGATTCCATTCACAAAACTATCTGTGGTGTCTGGTTTGAGTTTGGGACTAAAGGACTCCTCCCGATGACCTGGAGCAAGTTAATACACTTGAGCAAGTTACTTTTTCACAATCTCATAGAGAAAAGCACCCTTTGTTTGGATTCGCAGCAGACGGATGGAAACTGGACCTATTATGCAGTACCTCTTACCCATCATGGCGGAAGAACCATCTTGACGCTAATGGAGACTATGTCAAGCAATCTAAGAAAGTCAAACAAGAGGATAACACTGACAGTGAACTGGACTCCCGGGGCAAGAAACGATCACGGAGCCCTAAGTCTGAGTTGGACGGCACTAAGAAGTGTCTCAAAAGTATTGTATTTTTTTTATTTGTGACACATAGTATACTCACACATCTGATTAGTCGAGTCTGAAAACCCTCCTGCTGCCACAGCTACAGGCTCTCCAGCTATCATCGGTATGTTATTTTGTCTTTGTTATGCATATACTCATGCCACAGTGTATCAGTAGTTCTGGATGAGTCTGTGAACCTTCCTGTTGTCACATCAACTCAGAGCTCTCCTCCTGCTGCTGACATGGACTCAGACACCAAGCACCATTCCATTGTGTCTCCACCTGACATGCATAAAGACCAGCCACTCTCCCCACTCGTCGTTCCAATAATAGATACAGCGCTTCTAGATGATAAAGAAAATGCATCCACTATTGGTGCATCCGAGTCTGTTTCTACTCCCTCTGTTCCAAGTCGGCTACCGGTTCTTCTTATCAATCCACTGTAAGTGTTTTACACATCTGCAATACAAATTTAATTGTATCATTCGTAGTGCTGGTTCAACCCGCTGTCCGTTGATTAACTCAGCGACAGTAGTAAATGCTACTACAATACCCACCACAGCTCCCTCCCTAACTTCTATCACCAATATGACTGGCCCACCTGAGTCAATCGCATCTGCATCAACTGCACTCCCATCTTCTGATGACAATCCCGACACTTCTGTATCATCGAAGAAAGTGGTCAAAATGCGACCAGGCCCTAAGAAAAATGGACGGTAAGTACTGCAGTCTCGTTCAGTGGATCGGCACTTATTTGTTTACACAGCAATCTGTGCACATTCCGATGGCTCAAACAAGTTAAAGTTGGCAGCGGTTCCACCAAGGAGTTCAATACATACTATTCTCAGTTGGGTGCGGAGCAGATCAAGGTATGTTTTCACGGCTCTTTATGAACAACTCTAAACTTATTATTTCTTCAGTTGTATGATACAGAAGCTGCACGCCTGGTAAGTGGAACCGTCTGTTTTGTTTTCCAGTCTAACAAATGGTATCTAGGAACAAGAAGGGCTGTGGACGAAAAACAGTGATATTGTCGACGGCACTATGTACTAGCCTGGCCCAACTCGCCTCATGATCCTTTCCCGTCTTGTCAATGTTGCTCGGACTCGAACTCTCCTGCACTCTCCTCACCGTCTTCGTTACTGCCTTTTTTGCCACTGGATCCTCGTCTGGCCTACTCTCTGCTTGCCTTCCTTAGTATTGCTGCTTTGCATCTACTGTCGTGTGGCTTCCCTGCTATTGTGTTTCGCACTGCTATCGCTATCCTGCCGTGTTGCTGTCGCACCGCTTGCCTGTTATCCGAGTCGTGTTTCACATTACTGTCAATATTGTCCCATATTGTGTTTTGTGGTCGCGGTAGTGCTGCCGCAGTCCGGTCCAGAACCATGGTTCGAACCGGACTTTTGGTCCGGTTCTCCATGGTCCAGTCCATGGTTCTTACAGAAGCCTGAACCGGACCGGAAAATGGTTCTGGGTTCTAGGTCTTCCCGGACCATCCCAATTTGGTTTGGTCTTCCCGAACCATTCCGAACCCATATCGACTTCGACTTTGACAACGTCGGTCTCAACGTCAAATTATTGTCTTTGGGATTTGTGCTTTTAGTTAATCAGGCTACCTTCAGCCCTGTTGAAGGTAAGTACCCACTCTCAGACTCTCACCATGACTGACATATACTTGACCATGTCATCCATATTCCTAGATAGCTATGATCTTCCAGCGGCTTTTCACTTTTGGATATGTTTGTTCTGGGATTCGCACATGTTGTCTCCTTGCTCCGTGCACAGATTTAAAACGAGGTCCTGACAACGAAATTGTGAGTCGTCTCCTTGAAATGTCTGAGGATTCGTGTGCTCTCAATACTGATGGCTCCCTCAAGGATGCCTCCGATATTATATTCTACAACGATCCGGACGATAGTGTACCACTGCCACAGGTTCCATCCTCAACTCAACCTACTGCAAAAGACGCCTTCTCTGTGTTGCTCCAGGCTGGACACACACCAGCGCTAGTAACGGCTGGTTCACGGCGTTCCACCTGCACCTCAAAGCCCTCTGCTCGCGTTCGGGATGCTGACAATGCATGTGCCCAGCCTTCATCTTCAAGCACTGCGTCAAGAAAGCGTGCATTATCCAGTGCAACCAATCCTCCGGCGCCCAAAAAAGCTGTCATGCGGTTTCTGTCTCCTCTGGACTCTGATGAAGATGTACCTTCTTCTCCCCCTAATGCAGCCCCAGAAGAATCATCCTGTGACGAGCTCATCCCTCAACTGGACGACGAGGATCACGACGATGAAATAAAATCTGGGAATGAAGATGCCACTCAGACGGTATGTACTTCTCACATTATGTATATTGTTCTCAGCTGACAATCATGTTTAGCTTTCCAAACATGAACGTACAGCGGATGTTCGTACCATATTTACTCGCACTTCTGATGGGTAGGTTTGCAACTTATGCAAGTAAGTCATTCATCCTTCGATTGTTTCTCTAAGTTCTAACTTTGTATAAGGGCTACTGGTGAACCGATCTCAAAGCATACCTTTCGTGGTGGAACTTCGACATTGCGGACTCACATTGTCCGCAATAAATGGACGCATTTTCAGGTGTACCATCAGCGCTGTGAGGCTCCAGGCATTACGATGCACCCTCGTGCGATTCCACCTGGAGAAGACCTTGCCATGACCCAAACGACTCTTGATGCCAGTCTTATTTCGAAACCACCGGTGTTCACCAAGGAAGGGCTACTTGAATATGTCATGGAGCTTATCATGACAGAAGACGAGGTACGTTTCTTATATATATTCATCTAAAGTTTATTCACATATTCACATCATGCCAGGCAATACAATTAATTGATAAGCCAGTGTTTCGACATTTATTACAGTACGCACGTCTGTCCCTGATGGACAAAGATATTCCGCATCGCACCAAGTTAATGGATACGATCAGGTCTCGAGCAATGAGTGTGGTTGAAACTATCAAGGAACGCCTGGCAGTGAGTTTTTGTCTACTTTTATTGTGGGCAAGTCCTGAAATATTATTGTGGTTAGGATGTTGACAGTGCGGTTTCCATGATGTTTGACTCATGGACATCGATTATTGGCGAACCTTTCTTTTCCGTCACTGGGCACTACATCTGGAGTCCTCCCAACAAGCCGCTGCTGTGGGAACTGAGAAACGAGCAGCTCGATTTTGTCCATGTCACAGGCAACCACAGCGGCCAAAACATTGGCCATATACTCATCGAAATGATAGACAAGTATAATATTCGAAATAAGGTGTGTATTTAGTCAGAATCTGTCTTACTTTGTGTATTGACTTTGCTTATATAGGTTGGATGGATGACGTCTGACAATGCGTCAAACAATGATACTGCAATGAAAGAAGTTGCAAGAACCATAGACGAGGATGGTAGCCACTGGCTTCCGGGTCCCCGTCGCATCTGCTGTCAAGAGCATATTCTGAACCTTGCGGCACGACACTTCATCGATGCGGTTGCACCCACCCCTCAGGCAACAATAGTCAGAAAGATTCGACACACTATCGATCATGATGAGGACGCTGACGTTGACAACTTAACTGAACAACTTGCTGCATTGGAACATGATCCTGAAGCTATTGTCG